ATGAGTGACAGAACACTGAGCCAATCCCGGCGCAACTAGAGAACATTACCAACCCCTATGCTCCGTATTTTCCGCTGGCTGCACCACCACCACAGAAAGCACTGAGCTAGGCTGAAACACCTGCATTTTGGAGCTGCCTTACTCAAGAAAGCAAAAAAGAGACCATGTTTGTATGCGGCTTTATTAACTCAATTATTTATTTTTTTACATTGTTTGCAAACTGATATGTGACACGTATTAATGCCAAAATAACATGAAAAACAGGTTATAAAAATAATAATAATGTTGCTAAACAGGTAGGGCTCAAAATAGGTGGGGCCCCACCTGCCCTGAATGACATTTACATTTTACATTTTTAGTCATTTAGCAGACGCTCTTATCCAGAGCGACTTACAGTTAGTGCATACATTATTTTATTTATTTTTTTCATACCCCCTGTGGGAATCGAACCCACAACCCTGGCGTTGCAAACGCCATGCTCTATCAACTGAGCTACATCCCTGCCGGCCATTCCCTCCCCTACCTTGGACGACGCTGGGCCAATTGCACGCCGCCCCATGGGTCTCCCGGTCGCGGCCGGCTACGACAGAGCCTGGATACGAACCAGGATCTCTAGTGGCACAGCTAGCACTGCGATGCAGTGCCTTAGACCACTGCGCCACTCGGGAGACATATGACGCGTCGCCACTGGTTGGTTGTATTCATTGTCTTGCGTCTTGCAGGGAGAACTAGGCCCAGAGGGGGTGAGAGGAGTTCCTGGAGAGAATGGAGAAAAAGGAGCAGCAGTGAGTCAACTTTTAATCAATCAAATGTAATCAATATGAATTAGAAAATGATATTCTGACCGGTCACCATCAGTGTCCATGTTTTCTGCATGTCCTCATAGGGTTCTCGGGGGGATGCAGGGGACTTTGGCCCCCGAGGAGACACTGGAGAGGCAGGAGCTAAGGTAAGTTGATCTGGGTTCACCTTTTAGCAGCATAAACGTAACCACATGTAACATATGGATTTGCATTAGTATACGCATGAAAAGTCCCAATGCAAAGTTACACCTCTCTTTTCTATTTTCCGAGTTATTACATAAAACAGATCAGAATTCAGAAAAATGCCAAAGTCATGCCGGAAAATGCTTTTGCAGGACCCAGCAAGCAAGCCTATTCCCTATAATGTAAACTCCAACAGAAATAACTTCAAATGTATAACTTCAAATTAAACCAAATTGTTTGCACTCACGACTACTGGTTTCAATACAAAAATTATACTAACTTACAAGCAAATACTTAATGAATTTATTGTTACAAATCAGCTTGCAAGGTTGCTAGCCAACTAGCCTGCTAACGTTAGCCCTACCAGCCTGCTAACGTTACGTTAGCACTGCATGAGTCAGCCAGTTGCTATCAACACCTAGCTTACAGCTACATTAAAGTAAACCAAAGTTTTGGAAATACATGACACCATCTAACCAGTTATCAAATAATGTTACCGGTAAATGCAGTTATCTCAGCCAGCAAGCCAGCCAGCTAAAGTTAGTTATTCTATCCTGCTAGCTAGCCTAGCCAGATAACTAGCCTAGCTAGCCAACCAGCACGGTCGACATAGGTAAGTAGCACACAAAAAAAAGCCAACAGATATAAAGTAGAGAGAGCGGAGACTTACCGATTGACGGCTGAAGTAGCTACCGAAGAAGGGCCAAGGAGGGAGGCGCTTCAGCGGGAGAGGCCGTTTCACCGTCTGAGGGAGGGTTAATTAAATGTTTCTGTGTCTAGGGAAGTACCTGGTTCTCGTGGGGCCTCTGGTCTATCGGTAAGTAACAGACTTTATTTGTTCATCCTGATTAACAGATATCTTTCATATCCCTATCTCTCTCTCTGAGAGAATGCTGATGAATATTCTCGACTTTCAGGAGTGTGAATTCATGGGATTCGTCAGAGAAACATGCGGATGCTGTGGTAATGGTTCATTTCCAGTTATAATGACAACCAATTTTCCTGTAATAATACACTGCTCAAAAAAATAAAGGGAACACTAAAATAACACATCCTAGATCTGAATGAATGAAATAATATTATTAAATACTTTTTTCTTTACATAGATGAATGTGCTGACAACAAAATCACACAAGTTATCAATGGAAATCAAATGTATCAATCCATGGAGGTCTGGATTTGGAGTCACCCTCAAAATTAAAGTGGAAAACCACACTACAGGCTGATCCAACTTTGATGTAATGTCCTTAAAACAAGTCAAAATTAGGCTCAGTAGTGTGTGTGGCCTCCACGTGCCTGTATTACATTTACATTTACATTTACGTCATTTAGCAGACGCTCTTATCCAGAGCGACTTACAAATAGGTGCATTCACCTTATAGCCAGTGGGATCACCACTTCACAATGTTTTTTTTTTTTTTTTTTTGGGTTGGGGTTTGGGTTGGGGTAAGGGGGGGGTAGAAGGATTACTTGATCCTATCCCAGGTATTCCTTAAAGAGGTGGGGTTTCAAATGTCTCCGGAAGGTGGTGAGTGACTCCGCTGTCCTGGCGTCGTGAGGGAGCTTGTTCCACCATTGGGGTGCCAGAGCAGCGAACAGTTTTGACTGGGCTGAGCGGGAACTATGCTTCCGCAGAGGTAGGGGAGCCAGCAGGCCAGAGGTGGATGAACGCAATGCCCTCGTTTGGGTGTAGGGACTGATCAGAGCCTGAAGGTACGGAGGTGCCGTTCCCCTCACAGCTCCGTAGGCAAGCACCATGGTCTTGTAGCAGATGCGAGCTTCAACTGGAAGCCAGTGGAGTGTGCGGAGGAGCGGGGTGACGTGAGAGAACTTGGGAAGGTTGAACACCAGACGGGCTGCGGCATTCTGGATGAGTTGTAGGGGTTTAATGGCACAGGCAGGGAGCCCAGCCAACAGCGAGTTGCAGTAATCCAGACGGGAGATGACAAGTGCCTGGATTAGGACCTGTGCCGCTTCCTGTGTAAGGCAGGGTCGTACTCTCCGAATGTTGTAGAGCATGAACCTACAGGATCGGGTCACCGCCTTGATGTTAGCGGAGAACGACAGGGTGTTGTCCAGGGTCACGCCAAGGGTCTTCGCACTCTGGGAGGAGGACACAACGGAGTTGTCAACCGTGATGGCGAGATCATGGAACAGGCAGTCCTTCCCCGGGAGGAAGAGCAGCTCTGTCTTGCCAAGGTTCAGCTTGAAGTGGTGATCCGTCATCCATACTGATATATCTGCCAGACATGCAGAGATGCGATTCGCCACCTGGTTACCTGGACCTCCCTACAATGCCTGGGCATGCTCCTGATGAGGTGGCGGATGGTCTCCTGAGGGATCTCCTCCCAGACCTGGACTAAAGCATCCGCCAACTCCTGGACAGTCTGTGGTGCAACGTGGAACGTTGGTGGATGGAGCGAGACATGATGTCCCAGATGTGCTCAATTGGATTCAGGTCTGGGGAACGGGCGGGCCAGTCCATAGCATCAATGCCTTCCTCTTGCAGGAACTGCTGACACACTCCAGCCACATGAGGTCTAGCATTGTCTTGCATTAGGAGGAACCCAGGGCCAACCGCACCAGCATATGGTCTCACAAGGGGTCTGAGGATCTCATCTCGGTACCTAATGGCAGTCAGGCTACCTCTGGCGAGCACATGGAGGGCTGTGCGGCCCCCCCAAAGAAATGCCACCCCACACCATGACTGACCCACCGCCAAACCGGTCATGCTGGAGGATGTTGCAGGCAGCAGAACGTTCTCCACGGCGTCTCCAGACTCTGTTACGTCTGTTACGTGCTCAGTGTGAACCTGCTTTCATCTGTGAAGAGCACAGGGCACCAGTGGCGAATTTGCCAATCTTGGTGTTCTCTGGCAAATGCCAAACGTCCTGCACAGTGTTGGGCTGTAAGCACAACCCCCACCTGTGGACGTCGGGCCCTCATACCACCCTCATGGAGTCTGTTTCTGACCGTTTGAGCAGACACATGCACATTTGTGGCCTGCTGGAGGTCATTTTGCAGGGCTCTGGCAGTGCTCCTCCTGCTCCTCCTTGCACAAAGGCGGAGGTAGCAGTCCTGCTGCTGGGTTGTTGCCCTCCTATGGCCTCCTCCACGTCTCCTGATGTACTGGCCTGTCTCCTGGTAGCGCCTCCATGCTCTGGACACTACGCTGACAGACACAGCAAACCTTCTTGCCACAGCTCGCATTGATGTGCCATCCTGGATGAGCTGCACTACCTGAGCCACTTGTGTGGGTTGTAGACTCCGTCTCATGCTACCACTAGAGTGAAAGCACCGCCAGCATTCAAAAGTGACCAAAACATCAGCCAGGAAGCATAGGAACTGAGAAGTGGGAAGCATAGGAACTGAGAAGTGGTCTGTGGTCACCACCTGCAAAACCAGTCCTTTATTGGGGGTGTCTTGCTAATTGCCTATAATTTCCACCTGTTGTCTATTCCATTTGCACAACAGCATGTGAAATGTATTGTCAATCAGTGTTGCTTCCTAAGTGGACAGTTTGATTTCACAGAAGTGTGATTGACTTGGAGTTACATTGTGTTGTTTTAAGTGTTCCCTTTATTTTTGTTGAGCAGTGTATAAAATGCCCATGTCACAAGTCTTATTGTTAACTTCCTCTCTGTGCAGATTGGGAAAAGGTTTGCCCTCCCCTGGACCTGGTGGTTGTGATTGACAGCTCGGAAAGTATAGGAAAAACCAACTTCAGCCTGGCTAAAAACTTTGTCATCAGTGTAGCAAACAGGCTTGGGAAGATGGCCAAAAACGTATCTGACGTCTCAGGTAAACTTAATGTTACTGTATTATTATTATTATTACAACCACTGTTTGAATGGAAAACAATAGATCACACATATTTCTAGGAACAGGATAAAAAATATATATATGTGTGTGTATATTTTATACATATAATCAATTTGAAACCCCCAAAAGGATCTCGTCTTGGTGTGGTCCAGTACAGTCACCAGGGGGCGGTTCAGGCCATCAGGATGGACGATGGAAGCGTCACCTCTGACCTCCTTCAACACAAAGGTCAAAGCCATGGAGTGGATCGCTGGAGGCAGCTGGACTCCCTCTGCCCTGAAGTACACATACGACCAGCTGATAGTACCAGGTCGCAGGGGGAGGACCAAGGTGGTGGCCATAGTTATCACAGACGGTCGCTACGATCCTAAAGACCTGGATAATCTTGGAGCCCTTTGTAACGAGGTGGACGTGTATGCCATCGCCATCGGGGATATGTTTGACTCTGGGGCAGAGAGGCAGAATCTGGAGAGGATGGCCTGTAATATGGGCGACCGGGTGAAGACCCTGAGTGTCTACGCTGAACTTACGGCTGAGGAGTTCTTAGAGGAAATAGAACCAATCCTCTGCCCAGGCAAGTCTATGGTCCAGTCCCAAATGACACCCTATTCCCTATATAGTGCACTACTTTTGTCCAGAGCCCTATATAGGGGATAGGGTGCCATTTGGGATGCAGACTACATTTTATCAACAGTTCAATGCTTTTATTTTGTGAAAATCACCCACCCTGACAAAAATGAACTACATTCACTCCTCTACTTCTCTAGAACCAGAGAATATCTGTCCAGACCTGAAGTGTGCCTCAGGTGAAAAGACAACTTCTTTTTTTATTTTATTACATATAATTACAGGGCTAAGCTTTTATTTGTTCTTTCATATTGCACTAATGAAAACCCCTGGCCTTGAATATTTGTTCAGTTGGAAATTAACTATTAATGTCTTTCCAATATATTCTGGATATGAACATTACAGCCAACTACAGATGTATTTAATATGCCATTTAGCAGACGCTTTTATCCAAAGCGACTTACAGTCATGCGTGCATAAATTGTTGTGTATGGGTGGTCCCGGGGATCGAACCCACTACCTTGGCGTTACAAGCGCCGTGCTCTACCAGCTGAGCTACAGAGGACCACATTATTAAGAGTTTTAAGAGTATTAAGTATTAAGAGTTTATGAATCAACAGTCTGTATAACATTGACTTTTGTATTATTGTCGAAGATTTGAGTTTGGCTCCAGTGATCCAGCGTCCCGTAGACATCCTCTTCTTCATTGACGGTTCTGAGAGAACAGGGGGCAGAAACTTCATCAGTGTCCTGCGCTTCATCGAGAGACTCTCCCAATCCATCCCTCTCTCCAAGGAGGTCTCTTCAGGAGCTCGCTTCGCCGTACTGCAGTTTGGAGGGGAGCAGGACCCTGAGGTTCTTCTGGACTTCTCTAACAACCACAGAAGGATCAGCTCCCTGGTCTCTAAAGCAGTCTACCACGACTCAACCTCCACTCTGGGCAGCGCTATTCTCTATGCAACTGAGAACCTCGTCAGTAACCCTGGAGGTCAGTTCAGAGGGGTACGTCCGGACGCAGAGCTCGCCTTTGTGTTCATTACAGACGGAGTGACCTCAGACAAGAACTTTGCTGCCATGAGAAGGGCCAACGCAGTGGGTGTTGCGATCACAGTGGGATCAGATATTGACAGGGAGCGGTTGCCGCGACTCACTCTAAGGGACAAAGCGCTCATCTTTAACCTGAAGAGTTTCAATGACTTGGCCCTCCCTGGGGTTGTTAAACCAGGTTTGAAATATATTCAGGGCCCCATTTGATTTAACCCTCCCCTGAAGGCTAACAAAGACCTAGAACTGATTTTGTTCTCTAGGATATGTTCTATACAAACAAAGTGATGAATGATATGTTCTTTGATGCATCTTTTCTATAATTATTTTTTATTAGACTACCTTTTTAAAAAAGATTTGTGTAACTAATCTCATTGATTAGTGACCTCAAATATATATTTTTTCCCAAATAAATATTTATTCTCATTAACAACAGAAGTATAGCATGCTCCTTATAAAGTGTAGAGGTGTACAATATGTTACATTGTGCCATGTTCCAATAACAAGACAGAAAATAAACCACATTTGAAGGTTCTGTCACGTGTTGATATAAAAAATTAAACGATACTAATTACTGGTGTGACTAAATGCTATCCTCAATAGGTACGGAACCAGGAGGGTCGTTTTCTGCTTCTCTCCACTATCCTCTTGTCTTTGTCGGACTCCCCTGGACTCTCACTGTCATACAGGACCAGGGTCTCCTGCACTGCTGTGTTGAGAGGCCTGCCCTCCATGGCTTTAATCTGACCTCGGATCAGCGCTGTCTCCTTCCTGATCTTCTCATAACAGAACCCACACAGGATGTGCTTCTGCTTCAGGTGGCCACACTCCACGCACGGCTCAATGTTGGTCTGACAAAGAGGGGGAGGGGAAGTGCGGGGGAGAAGAGATGTGAGGGGGGGGGCGAGGTCGGAGGTTAGGAGGAAGGGAGTGAGGGGAAGGTGAAGTGAGGGGGAGAGAGAGTGAGGGGGGGGGAGGGGGAGGAGGGAGAGGGGAAGGTAGGAAGATGGAGGGGAGAGGGGGGGGGGGGGGGGTGGGAGAGGGAGGGAGAGGGGGGCGGGAGGGGGGGGAGAAGAAAGGGCGGGGGGGGGAGAGAGAGAGGGAGGGGGGGAGAGAGCATGAAACTTCAGAGAAATCCATTGCCTTTTCGATTGTGTTTATTGCAACGTTTACTAAGAAATTAGTCAAAAGCGTTCACTCATGGCAGCTACCATTACATTAAACATGCTACATACAACTGGACATCAGAGGACAAGACTTACAAGTGAAATGTCACCCAGTGAAACAATACACACTGCACTGAAACAATCCAAAGTGAATACCTTAACTTTGAGCATAAAGCTTGGGTCTCGTCTTCTAGTCCTGTTGATTTCTATTGTCCGTCTCTTCTTGGGTGCTGCCATCCAGAACACATTGTCCAGGAAGCTGGGCTCCGTGGTCGCTTCTTGCTCATCGTGGGGCTGCGGGAGGATGCTGGGGCCATGGACAGCTAGAGCTGGGGCTGTATAGAAACAAAACACACAGAGACACAATCATATATCAACAATCTATGCAATAAACAGAACCAATGTACTGTATGTCATCACTCATCATACATCTAGTAGTCTACTCATAGATTGATGCACGTATAAAAAAACGTACATCATCATCATAGTTATCTTACTGTCCAACACAAAGTCATAGATTATGCAGGGTAACATAGCTATCATGGAAGTTTTATAGCTAGCTAACTTGTTACTGCTAATGTTAGCCAGCCAGCTAGCTAGCTACAGATAAACACAAGGCAGAATGTTGTGTAAAGCTCAAACTCACCAAACTGTCTGTCAAGTCCTGTAGCCTGTATAATTCTGCATTCCAGCTGTAACAACGAACGTCTCAAAAAACACACTAAACCAGACAAATTCATAATTGTTTTGGTTTGCAAGCTGTCTTTACACTCATGTCACACAGCTCACGGTCATTGAATCACAAACGTCATTGAACTGCGACAACCAAAGAACCAATTGCATCTTGTTATTAGTATGACGCGTTATCACCGGTGCTGAGCAAAGATGGCAGAAAGGGGGTACAGTTTCTCACTCACCACGTTCAGGTAACTTTTACAAATGACTGTAGTGGCGAAAGTTTTGCTAGTTTGGGTATTGCAGGAAAACATTGTAAGGAAGAAGGATCGAACTCGAGCAAGTTGTTTAGAAACCAGACTGTTGCTCGCGGTGGTTTGATGCTTTGTCATTCTGTTGCTAGCTAATGTTAGGCTAGTCGTAGGAAGTGTGATTTTTCTAGTTCAAGTTCTTCAAACAGGCAACTTTAATAGCCAACACATTGTCTCTTCATGCCATTTGCCCTCTTTCAGTAATTAAGTGATTAGCTGAGATGCTAACTTTGCAAAAAGGCATCTGGAATTGCTGTTGAAAGTTTAGAACTTTCACTTTCAGTTTGTTGATTGCCTTGGGCGAGAGTGTGAGTCACTAGCTAACGTTACACCAATACATCTAAACACAACAAAAGGATTGGACTGATCAGACCAAGCCTAAAGTATTTGTTTGTCATGACGTTATTAATGGAACGTTTAAACAATTCCCCCCCCACACAGCCCATCTGGTAAACTGGTCCAGATTGAGTATGCCCTGTCAGCCGTAGCAGCAGGAGCCCCCTCAGTGGGAATCAAAGGTAAAGAAGACTTTAAACGATAACCCAATATGGCTGCGTTCACACAGGCAACCCAATTCTGATCATATTTTCACTAATTGGTCTTTTGACCAATCACTTCAGAGCTGATCTGATTGGTAAATTAGTGGAAAAAAGATTAGAATCGGGCTGCCTGTCTAAACGCAAACCATGTACTATAACATGTATAAAGTGGTACAACCACCAGGCAATGTCTTTTTATATACAAGATGCATGTGTCCATGGTACCAAACTCTTTTAAAGAGCAACTGCCCCTAAAAACCAACTTCTCGTTTAGAAAACAACCTATGTGCCATCGATATGAGTCAGGAACATTTATTCTGTCAAAATTGACTACAAAGTGTTAATAGGATAATTTGGGTCATAAAGTCAGTCTCGTCCAAAACTGATTTTTGTACCGGAGTATGTAAATTAAGGTTGGGTTTATTTCAACCCGGTCCACAGCTGGCAGCACACAAGTTATTATTCATTCGGAGTGCAGCTGCATGCGACCCGATTGTAATGCCTGTGGTAAATGTGCTTTGACTTTGGATATCCCTAAATATTGAAAGTATTTAATGAGAACTAAAAGGTGTGCAACATGAAAATATTGTCTCATTTACATTGTTATTTATTGACGGTCCCTAACTAGCCTCAGAGATGAGCTATCCAAAGTCGAACCAATTTTGCCACGGTCGCACACCAGCCGGCTGAAGCTAATTGGCGATATAATTTGGCTAACTCTTCCCACCTGCGAACACACACGAGACCCTCATATCAAACCACACCCCGAAACCAACTCATGTTTGAATTCAGTCATGTCTGCTAGCATTTCTAAGGCTACGTTTATAATTTATTTTCACTGATTGGTCTTCTGACCACTCAGATCAGCTCTGAAAAAGATCTGAGGTGAAAAGATCTGATGTGATTGGAAAAAATATCAGAATTGGTCTAAACACAGCCTTAATGAACCAAATCTACAACGAGGCCAAATCAGGAAGTTCAGCCGCCCTTTATCAGCATTACAGAAGACAGTCAGATTTTGATGATCTCTTTCTCCCTGTTTAAGCCTCAAATGGAGTCGTTTTGGCAACAGAGAAGAAACAGAAATCTATACTGTACGACGAGACGAGTGTTCACAAAATCGAGATGATAACCAAACATATTGGCATGGTTTACAGTGGAATGGGTCCAGACTACAGGTACATACTGGTGTGTGTGTGAGGGAGAGAGTGAGACTGCCTTTCCTTGAGTTTCTAAATATTGGGTTTACAACAGGGACAAAGATGTCTTTGAAATGTATCTCTTGTTACTCTGCAGGGTGCTGTTGAGGAGAGCGAGGAAACTGGCCCAGCAGTACTTCCTGGTCTATCAGGAGCCAATCCCCACAGCCCAGCTGGTTCAGAGGGTAGCCTCTGTCATGCAGGAGTACACACAGTCTGGGTCAGTTCTGTTCTGTGGGTTTCCTCAAGTTTTATCAGGGCTGGCCGACTGAGTGTGCAGGCTTTTGCTCCAACCCAACTGATTCAGCTAATCAAGGTCCTGATGAGCAGCTGATTGGTAGGATCTGATGTGTTAGAGCAGGGCTGAAGGAAAAGCCTAAAGCCCGTACACCCAGTATCTTTCCAGGAGGGTTGGCCACTGCCGAGTTACAATATGTTGATAAAGTAGTTGTTTTTACCTGAATTTCTAGAGAGTAACATCCTGTGTATTTTCAGTGGAGTGCGACCCTTTGGTGTGTCACTGTTGATAGCTGGATGGGATGATGATCACCCTTACCTCTTCCAGTCAGATCCCTCTGTAAGTATGCATGGAAGTATAAACCCACTCAATAATTTAATTGCTCCGTGTCTAGACCGTTCATGGAGCTTTTGTATTCTCATCAAGGAGTTCTGATCATGGAGTTCCGAACACGTCATGCGTCTAAACCTGCATTTAAATGTGCCGATACCCCTTTCCTGCACTATATTCAAATGCATAATGTAAACGGTGGAAAGGACTAAATCTGATAACACAGAAATTTTATGGCAGAACTAAAGGGATTGCAAACGGGTTAGCATAACAAAAAATAGTTTTTCTAAATAAGCTAGCAGCTACCATTTATGAAGCCAGCAAACACATTCCTCACACACTAGGAACATATTTCCTCCAACGTTAAATGAAAAAAGTTGCCTCTTGCTCCCAAAACACACGTGCTGATGACGTCGCCCAGTGTATGCGCTTTCCGTAGCCTGATTGTCTCCAGACTGAGGAGAAATCCGCACAAAATGTCCCCCTGACCACCTCCTGAAGTGGTCAGTCAGATCTGAACACAATCCGACCACAACCAGTCTTTTCAATGCAATCTTGGTGTTCTGATGGCAGAAGTCGCATGTAAGTGTCAAGTGTAGCCACAGCCTGTGTCTTCTCTACTGTTAAATGTGCATATGTAACGGACGTCACGTTGCTTGCTTAGCGAGAACCACTCCCCCCCCCATTCGGCTCATACCTGGCTCGAACTCGGGACCTCTGTTTGGCTAACACGTGGCTGCCCTCCTTGACAACTTTCAACGGTTTGAGCCACCCAAAAGGTACCAATTGGATAGCTCCATCTGCGACATTTCAAGCTAGCTGTGGAATGAGTTTACCGTACGTTCTTAACTCCGTTACACATTATTTTTCCGGTACTAACTATGATTATTTTGATATACACAGGGTGCATACTTTGCATGGAAAGCAACAGCGATGGGAAAGAACTACGTTAATGGGAAAACATTCCTTGAAAAGAGATACAACATGGATCTGGAACTTGAAGACGCTATCCACACAGCAATCTTAACATTGAAGGTAATTAATCTCACCTGCAGTTTTAGTACCCTTCCCTCTCAGAAGTATTTAAGAAACATTGTAGAAAATGTGATACTGTGTTTAGGTTATAGTTTGAATATTTAATGATTTACTTTGTCATGTCGTTATATTGAAATCCATGCATTTACTGCATTGCATTAATATTGTTCTGTGTGTGTGTGTTTTAAAGGAAAGTTTTGAGGGTCAGATGACAGAAGATAACATTGAGGTGGGGATCTGCAACGAGGCAGGTTTCAGAAGACTCACCACAGCAGAGGTCAAGGACTACCTGGCAGCCATTGCATAAAATGCCCCCTCCATGGGAGTCATGGCATGGACTACTTCAGATCAGCTGTATACTTTTTACAAACCAAATACAATACAGTTTTTTGCAGTTTAGCAGATTTCTATAATTTGTATTTTTTTCCTCCGGTTATACCTATTCACATACTACTAATAAATTACGATTTATGTAATAATATTTTGTCCTTGCATAAATTTGTTTTCTTCATATAATTTAATGATTTGAAAATTATTTTAATTTATCTCAATTTCTCACTATATTGCTAAAGTGTAAATATACATTTTGCATGAAATTAGTTCCCCCCCACCCCAATACAGTTCCTTCAAAGTATTCATACAACTTGACTTATTCCATAATTACAGCCTGAATTGAAAATGGATTAAATAGATTATTTTTTTTTACCCCATCTACACACACTACCCCATAATGACAGTGTTTTTAGAAATGTTTGCTAATTTATTGACAATGATATGTAAATGAGACATTTCTGTATAAGTATTATTTTCATACCCCTTTCCTATGACACTCCAAATTGAGCTCAGGTGCATCCAATTTCCTTTGATCTTCCTTGAGCTGTTGCTACAACTTGATTGGAGTCCACCGTCCAATTCAATTGTAACTTCGCTGGTTCATTGTTGCCGATGTTAGGCTAGCAAGCATTTTAGCTAGGTAGCCTATGAAAACAAAAAGCGTACTGTATGACAGCCATAGACCATTTTGCCAACATGAGAGGAGGATGGCATTGGTGTTCATCTAGTCTACGAGGGTGTCAACCTTTTTTTTTTTTTCACACAAACAGATATCAGTACCATGGACAGCCACATGAGATTTAACAACAGTGATTGGACTAAATTGTTTTTGGTATCTTTTAAGTTTGTTTTCAGTGTATTAAACTAAGCATATAAAGCCTTGTTGATTTGATGATTAAGTTGAAATGGTGCTGGAATAGTGGAGGCAGTGCTCCTGCTGTCTTTGTGCTGACTTGTGGTAACTCTGTGGTTCTAAAGCAGTAGTTGCTTAGTAAACTATCAAACATTTTGTTACATGCAATATTTGCTTTGTGGACTTCACCGGACAGATCTTGCTCTCCGGTTTTGTGATGAAACAAATGTATGTGCAGTTGAATTTATTCCGCCACTGTGTGACTGTTGTCTTATTGTCACGGCCTTATTGTATATCACAGTGACGTATGAATGATTGGTTATAGGTTGAAATATGTATTTTTTTTTACTGGCTTGGCTTCCCTAGTGATTTTACCCACGCATCGCTACTGGGGATAACTGGGGTGGCGTTAAGTGTTGAGGATCAACTGAAATGTAAGATTCTCGGTGTCTGACTCCTGCCGTTTGGTGCGAGAGCGTTGTGGAACAGAGAAGACACGGTATGTCCTGCTGAGTTTTGATGCAGAGTCTTTACCCAACAAAGTCAAGTTAGGACGGTGTTTTAGGTGCCAAGCTTATGGTCATGTTGCAGCAGTGTGTAGGAGGGTCCTATGTGTGAGAAGTGTGAGGGCATGAGACAAAGGAATGTGTAGTATCAGTGGAAAAAGGTGTGTGTGTTAATTGTAGGGGTACCCATGGTGCTGTAGATCAGTGTCTAGTGAAAGGCAGGTTGAGGTTGCCAGGATCAGAGTAGTACAGAAAGTGTCATATTCTGAGGCAGTGAAGAGCGTAGTAGAGGAAGATGTGTACAGGGCGAGGGATCTTAAGAGGATCCCTGTGAGTAGGCCGAGGCCAATGGAGAGTGATAGGAATAACGTGCCTCAGTAAGTCTGGTTTCTTAGCGTTCATAGCCATGGTTATCAACTGTACTGCAGAAATGGAACGTAAAATCACATAAAATAGATGTTGTGGTGGCAGCTGCAGAGAAGTGCTTGGGTGTATGAGTAGAAGAGTTACAAGGTGTGTTGTACGATAGTGTCCCTTCCTCCCAGGCTTCCGGCCTGGTGTAGGATCAGATGAGGCAAAATTAGTGGAATATCGGTGGGGTTTTAATGGCTGTAGGATTAGCTGGGGATGAAGATTTACGTTCCAACAGGTCAATGACCCCAAGCATATAGCCAAAGCAACGAACAAATGGCTTCAGAACAAGAATGTGAAAGTCTTTGAGTGGCCCAGACTTGAATCCCATTGAAAATCTGTGGAAAGACTTGAAGATTGCTGTTTGCTGCCGCTCCCCATCTAACTTAACAGAGCTTGACATGGAATCACTGGTCACTTTACATACTGCTTTACTCATCTCATATGTATATACTGTGTTCTATTCTATTTTATTTAGTAAATGCCACTCAGACATTGTTCGTCCTAATATTGATATATTTCTTAATTCCATTCTTTTATTTTTAGATTTGTGTATTGTTGTGAATTGTTAGATACTAATGCACTGTTGGAGATGGGAACACAAGCATTTCGCTACACCCGCAATAACATCTGCTAAATATGTGTATTTGATTTGAGAAAATATGCCAGGAAGAATGGGAGAAAATCCCCAAATCCAGATGTGCAAAGCTGATACAGACATACCCAAGACGACTCAAAGCTGTACTCACCCGCCAAAGGTGCTTCTAGAAAGTATAAACTCAGGGGTGTGAATACTTATGTAAATTAGATATTTGTGTTTTTCATTTTCAATACATTTGCAAAATTTTCAAAAAACAGGTTTTCACTTTGTTATTATGGGGTATTGTGTGTAGATGGATAATATTTTTTGTTTTGTTTTGTATCTATTTGAATTCAGGCTGTAACAACAAAACGTGGAATATTACCCCCATAATTTTAGAGTGAATGAAACAGAGCTCCTCTAGACATTTAGCATAGTTGATCTGACAATTAAGAAAGAGAACTCTCAAATATAATTAACATTTTAGGGTAAACACGTTCTATTTTCATAACCGTAAAGAAAACGCTTTATCATGAAGCTGTAGCTAGGCTTTCCATAATGCGCACTTTACAGCGCGCCAAAAATAACCGGGACATCTTTCCCATAATATCCTTCCGCACAACTGAACGATGTAAGAAAATATCACTGATGGCCCTGGGATAGATTTCTATAATTATAATATTTATAACTATTCATGTGGTCATTGGTATCAATAGAGCATGATATAATTGGTGATTAGAAATGTCGAAACACTACTTTTGTGATGAACTATGTTTGCTTGCGTCAGGATACTACGTGCTGTCACTTGTCTTCCGTGACGTTTGTGGCGCCAGAAATCAAGGATTTCGGTTGGGAAGGGGTGTGTGATTGGGCGCGACACACGTTACCTAGGAATGTTATTAAATAGTTACAATTTTGATACGATTTAGTAATCCCTTATTTATGCTTTAGTGTAAATAATCTGTTTTAAGTCAGGATGGTGATGCTACGCAGCAGCGGCGTGGGCGCGGAACCAGCAACTCCGAAGAGGAATCGGGCTGACTTGGATACGAGCTCCGAGTTTCTGTCCCTGCAGCACTCCTCGCAGACAAAGTCGAGTCGTCTGAAGAGGGGCCTGGATGACAGCTTCAGCAGCACTGAAAAGACGAGAAATGTGAGGCCCTTTTAAATAGTTGACATTATAAAATGTCACTGTAAACTCCGCTGTTGATCATTGAAATGTGTTAGCATGTTAGCTAACTGACAGCATATGTTAGCTAACCAGCTAACTAGCTAGCCCGCCATTGACGTTTGTGCCTAGCTAACCGCATTCTATGCCAGTTGTAACCTAACGTTAGCTAACTGGATGCTAAGGTTCTAAATTAGTTGGCCTGTTACCCCATAGGGATGTAAACTAGAGATAGGGGCTATCTCCCATAGATGTATATATCGTGGAGTTGAGTAAACTAAGCTAGTTAGCTAGCCCCTTGGTTAGTAAGTGGAACTGACGAACTACAATAAAAGTGGTTGTTTCTGAATGTGGATAGGTATGTAGCCTGCTAGCTAACTTATATAGTTAGCCAGCTGTAAGTTCGCTTACTAACGTCACACTTAAAATGACTGGATCCTTCTGTGAATGCAGCTGATGTTTTTGTTTTATCCTAACATAGGGTCACTCGATGGTGAAGGAGGAGGATAGCCCTCCCAGACGAGGATCCCTGAGGACCAGGGGACAGACCGTCAAACATGAGGTGTCCTTTGCTGAAATGAATGGCCAGACTAAGTGCCCAACCAAGTCCCCTGAGAAAGAGGAGGAAACTGGCGAACACAGCACAAGGTAACTACTTATGTTTTATGCAGATAAATGGTATTCATTGTATGTGAATCAGCTTCCACTCCTCTCTGTATAGTCGGTGATACCGAACATGATGTTTACAAACATAAGAAGGTATGTCATCACAACCCAGGCCTCCATCTTTAAGTTCTCATTTTGTTTATCTCTGCAGGAAATCCCCAAGACTGCAGGGTGATGGAAAAGCCTCCACATCATCCAGGGACAAGCAATCTGAAGCTGGTAACTACATCATTTCTAGATCACATTTACATGAATGAATGCCACCTCCAACAGTATAGCATGAAGGAGACACCATTTAGTTTAAATTATTTCAGCTACAATGTTTATCATCAAGTTACTATTTTATTTTTTATATATCTTCTTCCAGATGCTACTGATGAAGTTGAGGAAGAAGAGGCCTCTACTCTGAAGAAGACCCAGTTTGTCCTGCGTCCCAGGGAGGAGGACAGCTCTGTGAGACGCAGCTCCAGGATCACCAGATACAAGCGCAACTCCAGGAACCAGTCTGTGCTCTATAACCGCCTCATCACCAAGTAAGAACATCTCCATCAGCAGTCATCGTGCATCAGGGGTGGCCAACCCTCCTAGCTACCCATCTACCACAGGGTTTTTCTCCAGCCCTAATCAAGCACCGGGGCAGGAGAAAACGCCTGCATGCACAGTAGCTCTCTAGTAGGAGGGTTGGCCACCACTGTTGTACATCCTCTTGTCAGTCTGGGTTGCATGCTTATAAAGGCAAAGTTGATAACAGTGAAATTAACGTGCGTTACTTTTTCATTCTATTCGTAAAGTACTGCTGAGGCAGTGCTGCAGAAGATGGATGACATGCAGAAAATGCGTCGGCGTTTAAGAAGCAGGGATACTACAGAGGAGGTAAGCTTAATTAATGCTACAGGTTCATAGCTTTATAATAGAGGTCGTTAAACGTCACCGTGATGTCTCCCGTCAATGTCATGCTCCCCATTCTGTTAGACCCTGTACGCTGGGGCCAAGAGGAAAAGGGCTTCTGAAACAACCGATGAAGGAACTGAAGACCCTCAAGAGAAGGAGAATGGAGGGAACTCCAGTGAAGAAGAGCATGATAAGGAAGAGGGAAGCAAAAATAATCAGGCAGATGAGGAGGAGGAGGATGATGAGGAGGAGGAGGATGATGATGAAGAGGGTGAAGATGACAACCAGAAACGCTATGACTTCAGGCAGAGGAAAGCTGCAGTTCGCTACCAGGCACCTCGGGAGGGTTAGATATTTTCTGTTTAAACTGTTTGGATCTTTTGTTTCACTGAAGTCTGTATACTTACAGCCAGCAGCACCAGTACATGTACTCAACATTTATTGTCAAGCTGTACTAGTAGTTATTATTCCCATCGCTTGTCCTTCGACTCATTTCTCATGGTTGACCTTTTTTATTTCCCACTATCCCCACAGAGCCCAAGACAAAGTCCATCTTCTTCAAGACTTCAAGACACTTGTCCCCATCCAGGCGGAGGTATAGGTTCAGCTCTACTGGTCCAAGAAGCCCTTACAACAGGAGAGGCAGCAGGTCGGTAGGCTACAGAACCTAGTGCCTACTACCATGTCAGACTTATCAAGTTTAGTTTAACGTTGTTTACTAACTATTACAACAAATCACAATTCATTCCTAAATGCTACTTCCTTGCGCTTCTGATTTCTGGCATCCACAGGAGTGTGTCTGAAAGGTAAGTCATTGCCAGTGTGTTTTAGGTGTGTGGTGTCATCAGGGTTTCTGTAATGGCTGGTTTCTTGGTCATTGAGCTGCATGGTGATGGGTGATGGTCTGTGTACAGTAAGTTGTCTGTGGGTGCTGCTTGTGACTGGTCAAATCCTGACGTTACTGGCCTTTTGACGTCTGGCTCTGCCATACTCCTTTCTTTTCCCTGTAGAAGAAGACATGCCATCCACAGTAGTGACTCCACCTCCTCCTCATCCTCTTCCTCCTCCTCCTCCTCTGACGATGAGAAGTTCCAGAGGAGGAGGAGTAAGAGCAGGAACAGATCTGTGAATAGATGTCTTCCCATGAACCTGCTGAAAGAGGATGTCCTGGGAATCCACAAGGACAGGATGAAGATTGGAGCCAGTCTAGCTGACGTTGACCCCATGCAGATAGCCAGGTCTGGCTCAGCAAATCTAGCTGCTTACCCATGCAGATGGACAGACCAGTAGTCAGTGACGTGACCCCATGCAGATCCACTAGCCCTAGCTGACGTTGACCCATGCAGATGGAGACGTAAGTAGCAGTGAACAGATGCGCGTAATAGCTGACGTTCCCATGCAGATGGACAAGTAGTTAGCTGGACTTGACCCCATGCAGATGGATGAGCATAGTCTAGCTGACGTTGACCCCATGCAGATGGACCAGACAGTAAGTCTAGCTGACGTTGACCCCATGCAGATGGACCAGACAGTAAGTCTAGCTGACGTTGACCCCATGCAGATAGACCAGACAGTAAGTCTAGCTGACGTTGACCCCATGCAGATGGACCAGACAGTAAGTCTAGCTGACGTTGACCCCATGCAGATGGACCAGACAGTAAGTCTAGCTGACGTTGACCCCATGCAGATGGACCAGACAGTAAGTCTAGCTGACGTTGACCCCATGCAGATGGACCAGACAGTAAGTCTAGCTGGAGTTTGACCCCATGCAGATGGACCAGGCAGTAAGTCTAGCTGACGTTGGACCCCATGCAGATGGACCAGGCAGTAAGTTCTAGCTGACGTTGACCCCATGCAGATGGACCAGACAGTAAGTCTAGCTGACGTTGACCCCATGCAGATGGGACCAGACAGTAAGTCTAGCTGACGTTGACCCCATGCGATGGACCAGACAGTAAGTCTAGCTGACGTTGACCCCATGCAGATGGACCAGACAGTAAGTTCTAGCTGACGTTTGACCCCATGCAGATGGACCAGACAGTAAGTCTACTGACGTTGGACCCCATGCAGATGGACCACGGCAGAAGTTAGCTGACGTTGCCCATGCAGATGGACCAGACAGTAAGTATAGCTGACGTTGACCCCATGCAGATGGACAGAAAGTAAGATAGCTGACGTTGACCCCATGCAGATGGACCAGACCAGTAAGTCTAGCTGACCGTTGACCCCATGCAGATGGACCAGGCAGTAAGTCTAGCTGACGTTGACCCCATGCAGATGGACCAGACAGTAAGTCTAGCTGACGTTGACCCCATGCAGATGGACCAGGCAGTAAGTCTAGCTGACGTTGACCCCATGCAGATGGACCAGACAGTAAGTCTAGCTGACGTTGACCCCATGCAGATGGACCAGACAGTAAGTCTAGCTGACGTTGACCCCATGCAGATGGACCAGACAGTAAGTCTAGCTGACGTTGACCCCATGCAGATGGACCAGACAGTAAGTCTAGCTGACGTTGACCCCATGCAGATGGACCAGACAGTAAGTCTAGCTGACGTTGACCCCATGCAGATGGACCAGACAGTAAGTCTAGCTGACGTTGACCCCATGCAGATGGACCAGACAGTAAGTCTAGCTGACGTTGACCCCATGCAGATGGACCAGACAGTAAGTCTAGCTGACGTTGACCCCATGCAGATGGACCAGACAGTAAGTCTAGCTGACGTTGACCCCATGCAGATGGACCAGACAGTAAGTCTAGCTGACGTTGACCCCATGCAGATGGACCAGACAGTAAGTCTAGCTGACGTTGACCCCATGCAGATGGACCAGACAGTAAGTCTAGCTGACGTTGACCCCATGCAGATGGACCAGGCAGTAAGTCTAGCTGACGTTGACCCCATGCAGATGGACCAGGCAGTAAGTCTAGCTGACGTTGACCCCATGCAGATGGACCAGACAGTAAGTCTAGCTGACGTTGACCCCATGCAGATGGACCAGACAGTAAGTCTAGCTGACGTTGACCCCATGCAGATGGACCAGGCAGTAAGTCTAGCTGACGTTGACCCCATGCAGATGGACCAGACAGTAAGTCTGACTAGTAACAGTAAGGAGGAAACCTTCAGGAGCTCTCTCCAGTCCATACTGGCACCAGTCATGTTAAAGGGGGAAAGGATAGATAACTGGGACAGCCCTGGACAACACTGAAATGGTGTAATGTGTTTTTTGTAGGTGCGTTTTGACAGCATTGGGGGATTGACCAGACACATCTCTGCCCTGAAAGAGATGGTCGTCTTCCCACTGCTCTACCCAGAGGTGTTTGAGAGGTTCAAGATCCAACCTCCAAGGTAGTTAGAAAGAAGAAAGTGAACGGTGCAACATACATTTCTGCTGTATGTTTTTATAAACTCATCCATACTCTTATGGTGAAATGATCTAGGATCTGTTGTTGCTCTTGATGTGTGTTTATAAACTCATCCATACTCTTATGGTGAAATGATCTAGGATATGTTGTTGCTCTTGATGCTGTATAGTAAGTGTAGAGACTTGCTGTGTGTGTGTGTGTAGGGGCTGTCTGTTCTACGGACCTCCTGGAACAGGGAAGACTCTAGTGGCCAGGGCGTTGGCTAACGAGTGCGGTCAGGGAGAGAGGAAGGTCTCTTTCTTCATGAGAAAGGGAGCAGACTGCCTCAGCAAGTGGGTGGGAGAGTCTGAGCGCCAGCTACGCCTGCTCTTCGACCAGGTCAGTACCTACCATTATTATCTCCATGGAAGTTGGCTTCTGCTTCTGAAATATATTGTATTCCAGTTATTGTTCCAGGATCTTGAAACGGAGATGATTGGAGTTGGAGGAAGAAATACTAAAACTATTTTTTTTAACAACAAATCTTTTAGGCCTATCAGATGCGGCCGTCGATTATTTTCTTTGATGAGATCGATGGGTTGGCTCCAGTCCGCTCAAGCAGACAGGACCAAATACACAGGTCAGACACTGTGTTAATCGCTGGAAGAATTGATTTGAATGCAACCATTATTGCTTCTCGTTTAGCTATTTGGTGGCTTTTGTTTAGTATGATTATGTCTCTGTACAGTGGGAATAATGTTCTGTATGTGTTTCCATCTTACAGCTCCATCGTGTCCACTCTCCTTGCCCTGATGGATGGGTTAGACAGCAGAGGAGAGGTTGTGGTGATCGGAGCTACTAACCGTCTGGACTCTATAGACCCAGCTCTCAGACGGCCTGGACGCTTCGACCGAGAGTTCCTCTTTGGCCTGCCTGACAGAGAGGTGAGACAAGGGTCTTAGTGACCACTGGTGTAATCATTAGTGCATGCTGTAGCAAACAGTTTTGCAACAAAAAACCAGATTTTTATTGGACAAATTCAGGTAGGTCCCTCCCCATATATCAAAAGTTTGGACACACCTACTCATTCAAGGGTCTGTCTTTATTTTTACTATTTTATACATTGTAGAATAATAGTGAAGACATCAAAACTATGAAATAACACACATGGAATCATGTAGTAACCAAAAAAGTGTTAAACAAATCAAATATTTTAGATTCTTCAAATAGCCACCCTTTGCCTTGATGACAGCTTTGCACACTCTTGGCATTCTCTCAACCAGCTTCACCTGGAATGTTTTCCAACAGTCTTGAAGGAGTTCCCACATATGCTGAGCACTTGTTGGCTGCTTTTCCTTCACTCTGCCGTCCGACTCCTCCCAAACCATCTCAATTGGATTGAGGTCGGGGGATTGTGGAGGCCAGGTCATCTGATGCAGCACTCCATCACTCTCCTTCTTGGTAAAATAGCCCTTACACAGCCTGGAGGTGTGTTGGGTCATTGTCCTGTTGAAAAACAAATGATAGTCCCACTAAGCCCAAACCAGATGGGATGGCGTATCACTGCAGAATGCTGTAGTAGCCATGCTGGTTAAGTGTGCCTTGAATTCTAAATAAATCACACAGTGTCACCAGCAAAGCACCCCCACACCATAACACCACCTCCTCCATGCTTTACGGTGGGAACCACACATGCAGAGATCATCTGTTCGCCCACAGCGCGTCTCACAAAGATATGGCTGTTGGAACCAAAAATCTCAAATTTGGACTCCACCGGTCTAATGTCCATTGCTCGTGTTTCTTGGCCCAAGAAGGTCTCTTCTTATTGGTGTCCTTTAGTAGTGGTTTCTTTGCAGCAATTCGACCATGAAGGCCTGATTCACGCAGTCTCCTCTGAACAGTTGATGTGTCTGTTACTTGAACTCTGTGAAGCATTTATTTGGGCTGCAATTTCTGAGGCTGGTAACTAATGAACTTATCGTCTGCAGCAGAGGTAACTCTGGTTCATCCATTCCTGTGGCGGTCCTCATTAGAGCCAGTTTCATCATAGCGCTTGATGGTTTTTGCGACTGCATTTGAAGAAACGTTCAATGTTCTTGACATTTTCCGTGTTGACTGACCTTCGTGTCTTAAAGTAATGATGGTCTTTTCTCTTTGCTTATTTGAGCTGTTCTTGCCATAATATGGACTTGGTCTTTTACCAAATAGGGATATCTTCTGTATACCAACCCTACCTTGTCACAACATAACTAATTGGCTCAAACGCATTAAGAAATAAAGAAATTCCACAAATTAACTTTTAAGAAGGCACACCTGTTAATTGAAATGCATTCCAGGTGACTAAATCATGAAGCTGGTTGAGAGAATGCCAAGAGTGTGCAAAGCTGTCATCAAGGCAAAGGTTGGCTATTTGAAGAATCTCAAATATAAAATATATTTTGATTTGTTTAACACTTTTTTATGGTTACTACATGATTCAATGTGTGTTATTTCATAGTTTTGATGTCTTCACTATTATTCTACAATGTAGAAAATAGTAAAAATAAAGAAAAGCCCTCGAATGAGTAGGTGTTCTAAAACGTTTGACCAGTAGTGTATGTGTGTGTGTATATGTATGTGTATGTTATTTATTTATACATTTCTTTGTTCTACTGAGATTAGGGTATTTATTTTCATGTAGGAAAACTGTTTTTGGAAACATTAATATTTGACATAAATGGTGATGTTTGTTGTCCACTGGAGGCTCGGAAGGATATTCTGCAGATCCACACCAGACAGTGGACTCCCCAGCCATCAGACTCTTTCCTGGAGGAACTGGCGGACAAGTGTGTTGGTATGGTTTTATCCCTCTTCTCCAAACTGACCTATAATAAAAATAAACATTATTTCAAACGCCATTTTAAATTCCAATCTGTCAAATATTCAAATAGTTTTCTGAGGCTCACTGAAAGTGTTGTGTGTAATCAGAACATGTAGATGATGCTCCCTTACGCTGTCACACTGTTTCCCAACGTCCACCTGCTGTGTCTCCTAGGTTACTGCGGTGCTGACATCAAGGCAGTGTGTGCGGAGGCGGCTCTGTGTGCCCTGAGGAGACGATACCCTCAGATCTACTCCTCGTCCCAGAAGCTGGTGTTAGACGTAGCGTCTATCTCCATCGGCAGCAGGGACTTCCTGTCAGCCATGAGGAAGACCGTCCCAGCCTCCCAGAGAGCTGTGTCGTCCCCAGCCAAGGCTCTGACTCCTGTAGTCCAGCCACTGCTTGGTGCAGCCCTACAGACTGTACTGGGTACAGTTAGCAGGCTGTTCCCCCATGCAGAGCAGGGACTCAAGAGAGACAAGCGAGACAACGGTGGGTCGACTGGGACGAGAGAGAATCTCTTATGTTTCTCATGTGAACTGTCTTCATTGTCTGATTATTTTTAGTTGAGTAGGGTGAAATGTTTTGAAACGGGGAGGTACTACCGGAACTTCTCCCAATAGTTTTTTGTTGCAAACTGTATTTTCTACGTTGTCCCCTACAAACATGACCCAGATTTGGTATGCCCTCCTGCCGGTTGTATAAGAATGGATATGTTGAGTTGTATTCTTGAATGTCATACTTCGTTGTCATGTTCTAAGACATTTTCCCACTTGTCTTTAGGTGTCCTCCCAGCTGGTGTTTTAGAAGATGATCACCTATACAGTGAAGATGAGGACTCTGTCTGCATCAACGGTCTCTCTCACAAGGCCAAGGCAGCTGGGGGCTTCCTGCATTTCAGCAGGTGGGTAACGGTTTTTCCAACGCACAGAAATCCGTATCCCAAAAGTCTTTCTCCTACTCCTCCCTGAAGTGTGCTTTTTGAAAGCTTTGAGATCTGTGTGGGGACTGAAGTGTAGACTTCATGAAAAAGGGGGTAGAATGGGTATTGAGCTCTTGTCTTGTACAGTATTTTATAAGCTTTTTCTCTCCCCTCTCCTCCTCTCCTCTGTTCTCCCAGGAGCGTGCTGAACCAACCCACATCGTACCGTCCCAGGCTGCTGCTGGCGGGGCGTCCTGGGTCAGGTCAGAGCAGTCACCTGGCCCCTGCCGTGCTCCATGCCCTGGAGAAGTTCACAGTCTACACCCTGGACATAGCCGTGCTGTTCGGAGTCAGCACCACCTCTCCCGAGGAGGCCTGCGCTCAGGTACTGTACTCCCCCTTGGATCACGCCCTGTTTTCTGTATAGTGGCTCTATTGAGCCCTGTGCCATCAGCCATGACAGACGGTGAATCTCAAGTCTTTCCTTGAGTCCTTGATTCTTCACATATTTCTCAAAACTAATTGGAGGAGAAGGTCCAAGGAGAGAGGAATCAAGGAGTCAAATAAATACTTTTGAGATGAACCCAGAGATATATAGTATTGATGTTCCATTGGATGTCCTGTATTGATGAACCCAGAGATATATACGGTATTGATGTTCCATTACATGTCCTGTATTGATGATTTGGTATTTTATTAGGATCCCCATTAGCTGTTGCTAAAGCAGCAGCTACTCTTCCTGGGGTCCACACAAAACATGAAATATGACATAATACAGAACATTAATAGATAAGAACCGCTCAAGGACAGAACTACATACTTTTTTTTTTTTTAAAGGCACATGAACCCAGAGATATACAGTATTGATGTTCCATTGGATGTCCTGTATGTCTTGACTTGTAGATATTCAGTGAGGAGGTATGCGTGTTCGAATAAACACTTCTGTAATGATGTTTGGTTGTGTTGTAGATGTTCTGTGAGGCCAAGAGGACGTCCCCCAGTATCCTGTATATCCCTCACATCCAGCAGTGGTGGGACACGGTGGGGTCGGCTCTCAGAGCTACCTTCCTCAGCCTGTTACAGGACATCCCCTCCTTCTCACCCATCCTGCTGCTGGCCACCTGTAGTGTCCCCCACAGCAGTCTCTTCCCTGAGGTAGGTACAGTAGACAGACAACACCGCACAGCAGTCTAGCAGGATGTAGTGAAGACACCAATATGGCGGTGTATTATGTCTTCTGTTTGTAACAGTGTGTCATATGAAAAATGTGATTGTATTATAAATTGTATTTTAATGTTTAAGGACTCTTGGAAGATTAGTCCAAACGAGAACAAAAATAGATCCTAATACAGTCAAATCACCAACAGGAAACGGGATGTGCACTCGCTCCCTTCCCCTGTGGGAGAAGCTGGAGGGTTGGAATTGGGCTTCTGAGCAGGGGGATCAGTCAGTCCTATTTATCTGAATGTTATGTTCACTAGGTGACTCATCTTGGTAAATGTCATCCCCCCCCCCATAGGTCCAGGACCTGTTCTGTGCTGAGTATGGAGAGGTGCTCCAGGTTCAGGTCCCAACCCCACAGGAGAGGAGGAACTTCTTTGACGATCTCATCCTCAACCAGGCTGCCAAAGCTCCTGCATCCAAGAAAAAAGCAGGTAAGATGGCACCATATTCTATGATGTATTTTTGTGGAATCCTGGATAATGGTCCAAAAATGGTTAAACAAGCTCAACTTCACAACTAGTAAGTATTGTATAAGAGGTGCCGGTAATCGAACAGTAGAAAATTAGAGGAGCAGGTTCTCTGTACCAAAGCTGTCGGCACTCGCTCAGCCATGTGGTTAGTCGCTTACCTCCCGGTCCTCCTCCCCAGTGCTCGCAGCCCTGGAGGTGCTCCCTGTAGCGCCCCCTCCTCCCCCCAGGACGCTGACGGAGAAGGAGCAGCAGCGATTGGAGGAGCAGGAGGAAGACACTCTCAGGGAGCTCCGCCTCTTCCTGCGTGATGTCACCAACCGCCTCTCTCAGGACAAACGCTTCAAGGCCTTCACCAAGCCCGTCGACCTGGAGGAGGTGAGACTGACGATCAATTACTGTGAATGAATGTGTTCTGAGACAACTTGTTAAAAAAAAAATAAGATGAGGGTTAAATAAAGAGGAAAAGAGACCAGATGTCTAAACATTGACATGGTGGAATCTTCTAGAACTGTATCACGTGGAGAATGACTGACCTGTTCCTTTTGGATCATGGTTGTGTTATGTCTTGTCTAGGTGCCTGACTATGCTACAGTTATAGAGCAGCCCATGGACCTGTCCACTGTCCTCTCCAACATCGACACTCACAAGTACGTGACTGTGAAGGAGTTTGTACACGACGTGGATCTCATCTGGAAGAACTGTCTGGAATACAACCCTGACAAAGATCCTTCAGGTAGGAAATATGCTCTATCCAGAATTTTTTAGATTTTGTATGCCTGTTCATGGGAGAATGTTTCATTTATTTAATAAATGTATTAATTCAACTAATCATTCATTACTTAATTCAGCCAACACTATTAATTCATTCAAACATTCATTCATTCATCCATCCATTCAACACTTCATAATCCTACTGATGACAAGTCTGTTTACTGGATGTTTTCCAGATCGTCAGATCCGCCACAGAGCATGTGCTCTGAAGGACACTGTACAGGCCATCATCAAAGATAAACTGGATGAAGACTTTGAGAAGATCTGCGAGGATATCAAGGAGTCCCGCAGCACCAGAGGTCAGGTGTTATTCTATTGGTGCAGAGTAGTTCTAGAAATAAATTGTTATAGAGTAGAAATACATTTAGCTTTTCATTTGTTCAGTTTATTCTGCTGCTCTCTCCTTTTTTGTATTCAATCAAATGTATTTATAAAGCCCTTTTTACATCAGCAGATGTCACAAAGTGCTATACAGAAACCCAGCCTAAAACCCCCAAAAAGCAAGCAATGCAGATGGATGAAAGCAGAGGATTCCTGATGGATTAAATATGAACTCCCTCTCTCTTAACTTCCAGGTTGTGCCACTTCAAGGTTTGCTCCATCCTACTATCACGTTCATCCCAAGACAAGAGCAGTGGATGTGGAGAGCACCGATACAGCAGGCCCCTCTAAAGAGTCTACTTCTGCTGTTCCCTCAGCTGTGAACACACCACGTCCTTCAGGTTAGCAAGCATCTCAGTCATGTACAGACACACAATGCTACACAGGTTAGCGTTTCAACACTCCGCAGACAGACTTCTGTCTCCCAACAGAGGATGAGCTACAGAGAGCTTTCCAGAACTATAATATAACAATATGGCATTTAGCAGACGCTTTAAATCCAAAGCGACTTACAGTCATGCGTGCATACATTTTTGTGTATGGGTGGTCCCGGGGATCGAACCCACTACCTTGGCGTTACAAGCGCCGTGCTCTACCAGCTGAGCTACAGAGGACCACCTATCCTCTAATCCTCTAATAACTGCTGATACTGAGAGATGAATGATAATGCCTGTCAGTTTCTCTCACCATGTTTACACTCATCATTCAGTCATTCATAAAGGTGTTTATTTTATTGTTGTTGATGAACTGATCATCTACTAATCAGCAGCTCAGAAGAAGAAACGCAGGAAGAGCCGCTGGAGCAATGGCATCATCAGGAAAAGGTCCTCTCCTCACACCTCTAAAGACCATTCTGATGTGGTGGAGGAAGGAGAGGATGAGGAGGAGGAAGAGGAGGAGAGGAGAGGGGCAGAGAGTGAGGAGGGGGGTGACGCTGCAGAGTCGGGGCTGGAGGAGCTGGAGATCACTGGGGCTGAGGAGACCCCAATGGAGCGGGAAGAACCAGCCCAACAGGAGAACCAGGACGGCCAGCCCATGGAGCAAGACACTAAGGACAGGCAGCCCATGGAGCAAGACACTAAGGACAGGCAGACCATGGAGGAGGCTAGCCAAGCTGGGGCTGGAGACCAGAGCAGTGAGGGCACCCAGGATCCTGTGGTAGTGGTTGGAGCCCAGGAAAACCACATCTTACTAGAAGGGGGAGACAATGTATGTTATTTTGTTGTGAAATGGATGATGCTTTTTGTATGGATGATTCTCCTGCTGAATCGATTTGTATTTTGATGTTTTCTACTTTTTCCTCATTCACCCAGGGGCAGGTGTCCACTACAGACACAACTGAGCCTCAGAGATTGGAGGTGGAGGAAGAGACTACCACAGGTTTGTAGCCTCCCTTCACACAATGACCCCCCCCCCCCCCCCCCCACTCAATCTGTCGTTTTTAGGTGAACTTTGTTGAATTGTAAACTCACTCCTCCCCTCTGTCCTCTTGTCAGAAGCGGGAGTGAGGCGTGTGACGCGGGGTCTGAAGGACCAGGGGATGCAGCGGGTGATGGATGTTGACAAGGCGATACTGGAACAGAAGACGAAGCCCCCGGTGGTGGTGGATCACAACAAACTAAAGGTAGCTGATTCTCACTGCACCTGGTCCAGGGTCAGATCGTTGCCCAGCCTCCTAATGGATTTGAGGTTGTGTTATCTGATCCTAGAACTGTGGTTAAGGCAACTAATCAAATCAAATCAAATTGTATTGGTCACATGCGCCGAATACAACAGGTGCAGACATTACAGTGAAATGCTTACTTACAGCCCTTAACCAACAGTGCATTTATTTTAAACAAAAAAAGTAAGAATAAAACAACAACAAAAAAAGTGTTGAGAAAAAAAGAGCAGAAGTAAAATAAAGTGACAGTAGGGAGGCTATATATACAGGGGGGGTACCGTTGCAGAGTCAATGTGTGGGGGCACCGGCTAGTTGAGGTAGTTGAGGTAATATGTACATGTGGGTAGAGTTAAAGTGACTATGCATAAATACTTAACAGAGTAGCAGCAGCGTAAAAAGGATGGGGTGGGGGGGCAGTGCAAATAGTCCGGGTAGCCATGATTAGCTGTTCAGGAGTCTTATGGCTTGGGGGTAGAAGCTGTTGAGAAGTCTTTTGGACCTAGACTTGGCACTCCGGTACCGCTTGCCGTGCGGTAGCAGAGAGAACAGTCTATGACTAGGGTGGCTGGAGTCTTTGACAATTTTGAGGGCCTTCCTTCCTCCTTTGAGGGCCTTCCTCTAGCCAGTGGCAGTCTGTTTATGCTCTTATCGCTGTATGGAAATGTCATGTCAAGCCATGTTTGGCTTGACAATGACAGCAATAGAGTTGGCAAGAGCACAACCCGATCAGGAATCAGACTGAGGCAACTTCTTCCTTTTAGACAAATATGGAGGATATAAGACCTCCGTGCTGAACTGGTTTTCTGGTCCTTCATTTCAGGAGCTGCTTCAGAGAGTAGTGTCTAAGACGGAGGGACATGAGGTCTATCAACTGGAGAAGCTATATGCCCTGTTATGTCAGAGTATCTACAGACACCGCAAAGACTACGACAAGACTGCCCTGCTGAAGGTTTGTCATTCTATACATTTTAATTTGTAGTGTATATATATTCTTCTGTTGCTATAAGTGTACTTTATGAAACAAATATTGAGCAATGCCCCATAAATTGTGTTTTTGTATGTTTTCTAATGTTTTTTTTATTCTCTTTCCAGGAAATGGGAAATGAAATTGAAGATTTTTCATAAGGAGTTTTATATAATAAAGATCAATGTAGCTGGTCACGGATTGCCTATAGTATTTCCCCCCATTGTCTAAATGTATAAAGAACAAGCCTATAACTATATTTTGATAGAAATATACAGATGTGTATTTCCTAAACTTGTATACTGTTGCTTTTATTTAATTAAAGTGTTTTTACAAGTATTTACTCTGATCTTGTCTTGTTATACTATAAAGGCTAGACATTGATGTGTTCATTTGGTTGAAAAATATATATTACCAGTAACTACCTTGTTATAGCTGAATACAAACTGAGCATGACGTAGCTAGAATTGGAGAGTAGTGGTGCAGGTGATGTGTTTTGTCAGATACTTGTGCTGTCAAAGAAACGACAAATACTGTATATATACAAACGTCAGCAACGTCACTTTTAAATCCTTGTTTTTGGTTGATATTTATTTGAAGCTACCATGGCAAAATTTCTGTGTGCATGCGTGACAGATATCCCCAAAAGTCGCCTACGAATGACGTCAAGACGTATCGCATTGACGGTGATGACGCCGCTTAATCATTAAAAACTGCCATTAAAAAAGGACACAAAGTGTGATATAATTTGATGGACAAATGGCTTACTTGAAGTGACTAATGTAGTGGTTTCCTACCTTTTTGAATACGTCTGTAAAGAGATATCAGTCGAGAAAATAACTGTTGCAGCGAACATTTTCCATGTTTGCATCCGCAGACAGCGGTAGACTGAACTCGTCAGCCTCCGAGCAAAACTACTGCAGTCCGACAGATAGCTCGGGCTGAACGGTACGGAGGGAGGCTAGCTAACATTAGAGGAGAACCTAAGACAAATTGCGGGTGACAGGAGAGCCTGCGCAGAAGCTACGTCTTGTCCTGGTAAGTAAACGTAAGCTTAGCTACTGTACTGCCTACTGTGGTGACTAGCTAGCGCTAGTATTTGGCTTCCAGCTGCACAGTATCCCAGGTGTAAACTGTCTGGCCAGATGCAGAAATGGATGCTAGCTAGGTTAGTTAGCTAGATCTGGATAGCTAGCTATATAATAAGATATTCAATTTGCTATAGTCACACTGGCTAGCAATATTTTGTTCTACACAAATGAACGTATTGTAAATGACCAGCTACCACAAACTAGACAGTAGCTACAAACAAGTTGCACTCGCGTGCAGAAATAATCATTGTAAAGGTTTCACGTGCAAAAGTGGTCTAGCTAGGACACATTTCAACTTCACTAATTACCATACAGTGAATGTGCTATTACCATTATGTAGTAATCCGTAAAGATTGTAGTTTATCAAGTGCAGTTGCTATAGGATGGAACCTGTCAAATACATTATTTTTTTATTTCAGTCCAATATTGGAGGATTTAGCATGTGAATGAAACCATCACTAGCGGAAGGTCAATCCATTCCAGACACATCTCTTTACACAAAGTTATCTTGGAGGATAGCCCACCTACATCATGGCAAGCAGGAGGAAGTCAACAACACCTTGCATGGTCCTGCCATCTTCTAACGTGATGGAGGAGCAGGATGCAGACATGCAGGTGGTGGAGGGGAAGGATGGAGCTGAGAGCGCAGCAGAGAGACCTACAGATGCTGCTGTGGTCTCCACTGACCCAGAGACAGGTGGGGATAAGGTTTTATTCATGCACATCTTCAACATGTTGCTCACATCTGTTTCTTGAAATGTTATCACCTGGCTCGATCTTGACTGGCTGCATCACCGCTTGTTATGGCAACTGCTTTGCATCCGACTGCAAGGCGCTACAGAGGGTAGTGCGTACGGCCCGGTATATCACTGGGGACGAGCTCCATGCCATCCAGGACCTCTATACCAGGCGGTGTCAGAGGAAAGCCCTAGAAATTGTCAAAGACTCCAGCCACACAAGTCATAGACTGTTCTCTCTGCTACCGCATGGCAAGCAGTGCCGATGCACCAAGTCTGGAACCAACAGGACCCTGAATAGCTTCTACCCCCAAGCCATAAAACTGTTAAATAGTTAGTCCGGGTAGCTATTGGTTAACTATCTGCATTTATCATTTTTATCCTGTTGCCTAGTTACTTTGTCCCTACCTATATGTACATATCTACCTCAATTACCTGTTACCCCTGCACATCGACTCGGTGCTGGTACCCCTTATATATACCCAAATGATCATTACTCATTGTGGATTTATACCTCGTGTTATGATTTTTCTATTTTTCTCTCTGTATTGTTGGGAAGGACCTGTCAGTAAGCATTTCACTGTTAGTCTACGCCTGTTGTTTACCAAGCATGAGACAAATAAAATGTGATTTGATTTTGTTCAGTAGGCACCAAACAGGAGAAAAGCTTTTGAAACCGAGTGAAATGGGGAGGTACTGTCCAATATGAAATGCTAATATTGACTTACTGTTTCAAAACGTTTTGCTATGGTGTGCTCTACTCCTGAACATAACCCTTGTTCTCTGATGTAGTTAAACTAACATAGCTGGGCAATTTACTTTTCAGAGCACGACATCAGTCAGTCCAGTGGAGAGGACGGTGTCACCCACACAGGGGTGAAACGCAGCAACCAACCAACCTTGGAGCAGACGGTCAGTGACCTTCTCTCGGATGGGGGTTACACACATCACGAGACGGAAGACAGCGACGACACCGCCTCAGCTGGCATCTCACTCAGCAAAACCCCCATCATGAAAATGAGGGGTAAATCCGAACCGAAGAGGATGGCCATGTCTCTGAAAGCAGCAGAGGAGAGCGACAGGATGGAAGAGGCTGAAGAGGAGCCTCTGGGGCTGGGTTCCCTCACTCCTGTAGAGATGATGAGCCCACATTACACTGAGTCCATGAAACACAGTGTTCTCCTGAACATTCCCAATAAGATGTCGACATCATCAGAGCAGAAGAAATCTTCTGTCCTCAGCTCCAATCTGTCTGGACTTCAGCTCCCCCCTGGTTTAGCCCAGGTCCTCTCAGCTCTGCAGGCCCAGCAGGTGATCATATTTTCTAATTCTTTGAAATTGTAAATTGTATAAAACAAATCAGCTTTCACTGCTGTTGATATTATGTAATGTTCCTGATAAATAAGTGAATAATAACTCTGTGTTCTCTCTCTCTCTCTGTCGCTCTCTCTCGCGCTCTCTTTCTCTCTCGCTCTCTCTCTGTCTCTCTCTCTCTGTTGCTCTCTCTCGCACTCTCTCTCTCTGTCTCTCTCTCTCTCTCTGCCTCTCTCTCTCTCTCTCTCTCTCTCTCTCTCTCTCTCTCTCCTCTGCCTCTCTCTCTGCCTCTCGCTCTCTTTCTTTCTCTCTCTCTCTCTACGTCTGTCTCTCTCTCTCTCTCTCTCTCTCTCTCTCTCTCTCTCTCTCTCCTCTCTCTCTCTCTCTCTCTCTCTCTCTCTCTCCCTCTCTTCCCCCTGCAGAGCGTCCAACCCCAGCTCCTCATCCCCGTCAGCAGTATCCCCTCCTACAACCAATCCATGGATACCAACACAGTCCTGGTCAACACCTACAAGAAGTTCCCCTACCCATCAGTATCAGAGATCATGGGTCTGTCGGCTCAGACCAAATTCAGTGAGGAACAGATAAAGATCTGGTTCTCTGCCCAGCGTCTGAAGCACGGGGTCAGCTGGACTCCTGAGGAGGTGCTTTTCCTGTTAGATTCATATTTCTCTTATACCACAGTTACATTTTTTGGGACACAGTGTTTTTATTGTGCCTTTTTAAACTTATTTTCACTCATTGAATATATATGTTTTAGCGCGTACGCATTTCATTGTACCATTTACACTACGTGTATCCTGTGCATATGACAAATAAACTTTGATTTGATTTGAGGTGGAGGAGGCTAGGAGAAAGCAGTTCAACGGGACAGTGCACACGGTGCCTCAGACCATCACTGTTATCCCGGCCCACCAGCTCTCTGCTGCGGCCAACGGCCTGCAGTCTGTCCTCCAGACCTGCCAGATAGTAGGCCAGCCGGGCCTGGTTTTCACACAGGTTGGTACTTATTGATGATGATATGTATTATGACATGGATGATATAATGTAATATTACTGTTTACAGTTTCTCAACTCTGTAATATGTCTTGTCAGTTGTAATATTGTGGATTGACACAAACTTTTCTAAACTCTGAACAGGTTGGCACGCCTGTGACCACACCCATCACCTTGACAGTAGCAGGGATGCCAAGCCACAGCCAGGTCCCCAAGATGTCCTCCCACCAGAGCAGCCCAGCGGTCAGTGAGATGAAGAGAGCCACCACTGTCCAGCCTCCCTCCCTGACCCCACAGGAGAACTCAGCCCTCAGCGCCGACCACTTTGGCATGCGGCCCAAGAAGTCCAAGGAGCAGCTGGCAGAGCTGAAAGCCAGCTACCTGAAGAACCACTTCGCCAGCGACGCGGAGATCGCCAGGCTCATGAATCTGACCGGCCTCACAAAAGGGGAGATCAAGAAGTGGTTCAGCGACACGCGCTACAACCAGCGCAACTCCAAGAACAGCAACGTCATCGTGTTCCATGACAGCCACAGCCCCAGGGGTCACAGCAGCGGCACCACCATCGTCATCGACTCCAGCGACGAGACCCCTCAGTCTCCACCGCCCACACCATCCGTCAAAGAGAAAGAGACGCGCCCCAAGACCTGGAATTCCTTCCCAGACTTCACATTGCAGAAGTTTAAGGAGAAGACACCAGAGCAGCTGGTGGTTCTAGAGGAGAGTTACCAGAAGGGAAGCACTCCATCTGACGACGAGTTGACCCGGCTGAGGACGGAGACCAAGCTGACCCGGAGAGAGATCGACGCCTGGTTCACAGAGAAGAGGAAGGTAGTGGAGGCAGAGTCACCTGATCTGAAAGCAGAGCGGATGGAGAGCGAGGCCACCTCGTCTAGAAAAGGATCCCAGACCCCTCCGGGTGGCCGGCGGCCAAACAGGGGGGACAAGAACATCGGAAAGAAAACCCCAGAGCAGCTCCACGTCCTGAAGAGTGCCTTTGTCCGTACCCAGTGGCCCTCCACAGAGGAGTATGACAAGCTGGCAGAGGAGAGCGGGCTGCCCAGGGTCTACATAGTCAACTGGTTCGGAGACACCCGGTACTCCTTCAAGAACGGCAAACCTCAAGTGGTTCTTCCACTACCAGAGCGGCAACGTAGAGGGACTGAACGGCAACAAGAACAGGAAGAGGAGGATACGTAACCGGGGCTGGGGGAGGTCTCGGAGCAGGAAGGCCAAGAGGTCAACCAGCACGGAGAAGTCGCCACCACCGCCGCCCATCGTCAAGTTCAAGTCTGGGAAAGACGTTCTGAAGGAGTATTACTTGAAGCACAAGGTGCTGAATGAGCAGGATCTGGACGAGCTTGTGGCCAAGTCTAGTATGGGATACGAGCAGGTGAGAGAGTGGTTCGCTGAGATACACAAGAGGGAAGATATGGGTGCTGATCCGTTCGGGGACGCTGAGGTAAACGAGGAAAAGTTGCCGGGTGAGAATGAGATGGCGCCTGAAGTGCAGGATGACACTGTGGTAGAGGAAGAGGAGGAAGAGGAGGAGGAGGAGGAGGAGGAGGAGGATGACGACACTGATGAAAGTGATTCTTGGGAGCCCTCTCAGGGTGCCAGAAAAACACAGTCAGAGTAGTGGTGGACAGCTGGGCTGTGTTCGTTAGGCACCAAATGGAAGAAAACGGACTGAAACAGGGAGGGACTACATGGACTTGCAGAACATTTTGCTATGGTGTGCCCAAATGAACACAACCTTGGATTTAGTCAAACAGCACAAACTTATTTAGCTTTCTCTTATGCGTTTTAAAGGGTACCGTCTGAATGCAAGACTGAATGATAATATCCCACCAATACAAACAATATGTGCACATTTTTCCACTGCTAGTGTAGCTCCATCTAGTCAAGAATTACAACCAGTACTTTAAATACCTATTTGAAATGAATTGGTCAGACATTAAAATGCTGAAGTTCATTTGATAATACAATAACATTTGATATGATGATAATTCATAAAATGAATGGAAAATTGACATAATTTGTTAATCTACAGTACTCTGCACAATTATTTATGTGCAATTAAGAGGTCCTTTTTTAATGCCTGATGTATCTGTTGTATCCCTATTATTATAGAGATGATAAAGTACTGTAAGTACCTTCATGGAATGAATGCAATGAATCATTTGAATACAGATTATATTATGGGTTCCCTTTGAAATTGATTGGAGGAGCTGCGGTGCCAAAGTAAACTATTGAATGTGGATTCCTGTGCTATGAAAGAGTTAAAAATCAGGGACCTTGTTCATAAAGTGTCTCAGAGTACGAGTGCTGATCTAGGATCTGTTAGCCTTTTAGATTATAAGGAGCCTATAGACAGACCCATGTCCCCATGTGAATCCTTAAAGAGATGGGTGGGGCTTAAGAGGGTGTGAACAAATTAGAGCTCTCTGGCAAGTGTGAAAAACTTTGCAAGGCTTTTTCTGAAAACTGGGTATACAAGAGTATCAACTTTTAAAGCAACATAGCTTTCTCCAACTGTAGTGTATATTATGCCATTATGAAGCTCTGAGTCTGTAGTTTTATACAATGTAAAGTGTTTTTTTTTGTTTTTTTTTTAAAGCAAATCACTTACATTTGACATAAGCCCACGAAAGAGAGATTGTGTCACAAGATTACATAAGATGCTTTATGAAAAGGGCCCGGAGGCCCAGTATGTATGCTGTGAAGGAAACTGACAGTGTAGCACTTATAATTTTGCACTTTGCCCACTACTGTATTAAAGACTTGCTCCGGAACTTTGGCGACTACTAAGTATTTTTAAACCTCCCGCTTTGAACTGGATGTGTCAGTGTTCGTACATGCATAATCTATGAACAGAATTACTGTCTTACCTCAATTAGACATGAAATTCCCTACATTTTCCCCCAAGTGGACCAGGCCTCTAGCAATTTGAGTTCTAGCCAATGAGCTTCACCCCCTCACTATTTGCGTGACAGCTAGCAAGATGCACACACAGCAAAGTGAGAGAGAGAGAGCAATGACATGGTGCACATATGTGAGGCAGTGGCGTAGCGCAGTTTCGTGGGCCCCACCCCCCCCGCCCGCAAGGTCTCTGTGTTCTATGCCAGTGATGTGAGGTAGTACACAATTTTGTCAGGGACCACTTTTTGGGCTACTGGCTAAATGTATACAAAAGTACCGGAGGAATCTCTTTAACATGTTCTTGTAGGGAAAGAAAACTTTTGATTAGGCACCTTATAATCCCTTCTAGTGTCTTTAATATACCAAATCTCTTTTTATATGAGCTCATTTTGAACACTGTAAAACTAAGTATTTTGCCTTGTATTGTCCTCCTCTGAAATTATTATATTTTCAAGAGGATGCACCTTATTGACTTGCCCTTCTCGTTGTGTATCAATTCCGAAGTTGGGTATTGATATGGCACAAATGAAAATCAATGGACTGTATGTGGCCTACTGCTTCCAGTACAACCAACTGGCACAATGTGGGTCCCTTTTTCAATCATGTGAAACTCTGCTGACTTGGAAATGTGTAACGAGAGTTTTAATAATGATGATGTAAAACCTTTGTTTTTGAGACTGCAGTACTTGTATGTATGAAGACTAGTGTAGGAGGACTTGATACAGGTCTGTTTTCAAACAAGTGTTTTTCTAATGTATGTCCAGATGTATGTTTTGGATTGTTTTGCTTTTATTTTGAAAAAAAGTATTCAGACTATGCTCTCCCCCACTAATTTCAATGGAAAGTTTTGACATGTGCACATTAGTAGAACCAAGACATTGTTTCTCACCTAGTAAGCCATGTCCTGTACGCTCGGGACACTGGGTTCCAGGCTGGCCCGACCTGATGAGTTACCCAACGGTCTCTCAAACTATTCTGAACATGCTTTGCCAAGTTCTAGAACCACTTTGGTTTTAGAATCTCAATCTAGAATCTAGTTGAAACATCACAACGATTTACAGGACAGACGGATGGATTCAGAACCTTTTTGAGGAGACAAACCTATGTGCCTGCGTAGCTCATTCTTTCTGAGCAGGATTTTATCAAGGAGAAGATCGTGGATGCCTCATGCTCATCATGAACATTGCAAATTGGACAACATGTTATGCTGTGAAATCTTGAACATTTTCATGCATGAACAGTTATTTGTACACCTAGTTAAGGTAAAATACCCATTTGTATTGTGAGATCCATATACTGCATGCAATAATCATCTGACTGGAGTCAAGAGACAGAGTATTTTCTACAAATAGCATATTATGTGCTTGTATTAGGCAAGTCGTTTATTTATTATTAATCCTGTCTCTCGACTTCAACTAATAGCTTGTATGGCGTTCACTGTTAATGTGTACAATACTTTTTTCAAAAAGATTATTTGGCCCAGTGGCTCTTTGCCTTCGTCAGTTGGCAACTCTCAATGTATCCAAGTTACTCTTTTTGTACAGTAGACGTGACATTGTGACTATAGTACATTACTGTTTTGTCCTAGGACAATAATTCTTACCTGTCTGTCCTCTTTGCTATTTCTCAATATTTAGAAAGAGCTTGTTTAGTACTAATACATAACAGTTTAATACATAACTTAATACATGCTTAGCAGTTTTCCTATTAGATTGTGTGTGTACATAATCTTTAACCTACTGTCTTCCTAGTCTTTTAATATAGTATTCTGCTATCTACAGCTCTAATGGATAATGGCAGTCAGTCTCCTTCCTCCTATTGTATTTATTAAGTTACCAATGAGAATGAGCTTCTGGATATGTCAAGATGCTTTGGGAAAAGTGAGAAAGTTTATTTGCAAACCTGTAATGGAATTTGTAATGTTGAGACAGAGTAGTCTTGGAGCTGAAAACTCAGTGGAAAGAGCTTTAGTCCCCTGAGCTATAGACTGTGCAATGCTTTTGAATTTAAATCAAACTGTTTTTTGAGGCTGTGGCTTGATTTAGACAAAATATATATTTTATACTTGTTTGAGGACAAAATACAATACATTTGGATGAAAAGGCGTGTATTTTGGTGTTGTATAAAATAATATTTAACTTCAAAATATGACTGGAGTTCTCTGCATGTTATGATATAAGATTATAAGATATTAGAAGAGCATTTCATTTAAGAAAGTAAAGCATCTGTCATTGGAACGTTATCACCTGGGAACACATTCTATCGTTTTCTGTTTCCCAACGGTCATATTAGCTTGTAACACTGCACACATTTACGTTTATTTTGGTTTTTAGTGACGGTAATATTTGAAATCACTGTCATTCATCGTTTGAAATGGAGATTTTCGGTAGCACCTTTGACGATTCGGTGTTCGAGGAATCAAGGAAGAAGCCAACTGTTGTTGCACTGTCGTCTTACAATGCAAAGTTCTGTGAAGCAGAGGTGAGCGTTAACTAGCTACCCAACGTTAGGTAGCATCCGTTTTTTGCTAGCATTGCAATTATGCATATCTTTAACTACGAGTTATCTATTTCAACAGTGGTTTTGGGAGAGCATCGACCCAGAGGACTTTTTGGAGAAGCAAAAGATCTTCACATTTCGAGCTGATATGGCGTACAGGCGAAAAAACTTCCAGGTATTGGCCTTTTTTCCCTTGAGTAATTTAGCTACACACTGTCTATCATAGCCATCTAGTATCCAAATACTTTTCTCATCTGTTAACTATATCCCTTTCCCCAGGAAGCTTTAAACGACTACACTACCTGCCTCTCCTATATCCCTGACGGCAACCTGACCATTAGACGGGATATAATGGAGGGGATGGTAAGGTGCTGTTGTCACCTGGGGAAGAGAGAGGCAGCCCTGGAGATCACAGAAACACTTGTAAGAACCGTTGCTGTTGAGTGAGTCTTATCTTTATACTGGCATGATACATTATTGTAACATAATATGGTCTTTGTTATACATTAATAATACAAAATACCTAGTCTCGTACTCCACCAGCCAGCTCTTGTCTGGGGACGAGGCTACAATATACAAGTAAAATGGTTGTTTGAAAATGGAAGTTATAGTCAATCACAAGCTACACTTTCTCCATGGACAGAAAAACGAAGCCTCCAACACCTGTCACCTCACCGGTCTACTTCACCTGACCGAGAACATCCACGAGCGCTTCGGAGACCTCAGGAGCCAGGTCACGTGTCTGCAGCAGCTGTGTTCTCTCCACCCCTACCACCAGTGGCACTGGATGAAGCTGGCAGAAAGCTACCTTCATCTTCTCCATTCTCTGTCAACACCCTCAACCTCCAGTCCTCTTCAACAGCGAGATGGTGTAGAGCATCAGACTGAGGAGCAACTGAAGGAAGAGAGTGACGTCGTTTGGCTCAAGGCCTGCATGTGTTTTGTCCGGGCCAGGTAAATAATCAGTGAGAGAGACAAGCAGAGATCCTATTGGCTAATTCTATATGGAATTCCATGGATACAAGCTTGTTGGGCACTCTTTAGGACTGGTTTCCCAAAATCAGATTGCGATTCTCCATTGAAAGTACTTCTTAGTCCAGGAAAAGTCTTACTCTATGTCTGGGAAATTGGCCCATGGCATAAAGCAGAGAGCATATTTACACTTTCACCCTAAATGTCACTGTTTAGCGCAGTCTTTGTTTTGTGAAGATGGTTGTTTGACTGTATTACGTTGCCTTGCCAGACTCCTCCTCAGGGCATTAAAGGGCCAGCAGTCATCCTTTGTTCTCCAGAACAGTGAGAGAGCCCTACAGAAGGCTGATGAAGCTCTACAGCAGGGTTCTTCAATTCCGGTCCTGGAGGGCCGAAACACCTCTGTTTTTCATCCTCTCCTTCTAATCAGGGGCTAATTCAGACCTGGGACACCAGGTGAGTGCAATTAACTACCAGGTAGAAATAAAAAACAGAAGTGTTTCGGCCCTCCAGGACCGGAATTGAAGAACCCTGCTCTACAGTGTCTGGAGTCTAAAGATGCAACACTACAGCTCGTCTCTAAGGTGAGAGGTTATAGACAGGTGTAGGTTATACAGTGAGGGGAAAAAAGTATTTGATCCCCTGCTGATTTTGTACGTTTGTCCACTGACAAAGACATGATCAGTCTATAATTTTAATGGTAGGTTTATTTGAACAGTGAGTGACAATAACAACAAAAAAATCCAGAAAAACGCATGTCAAAAATGTTATAAATTGATTTGCATTTTAATGAGGGAAATAAGTATTTGACCCCCTGTCAATCAGAACGATTTCTGGCTCCCAGGTGTCTTTTATACAGGTAAGGAGCTGAGATTAGGAGCACACTCTTAAAGGGAGTGCTCCTAATCTCAGTTTGTTACCTGTATAAAAGACACCTGTTGTCATAAATGCTGTAGGTGGGTGTAGTGGTGGAATCAAGCGCAGGACACCGAAGTATAGTCCAAAAGACTTTAGTGGAATATCCAACAAGGAAAACAGAACAAACTTGCCCGAAGGCGAAACTACGCACGTAGGCGACAAACAAAAGGCGCACTACACAGGTGCGTAAAACGCTCCAACACAGTGGAGTAAAGCTCAACCGAGCGAATAAGGAAATCGACAAGCAAACATACGACAGGAACAATCACACACAAACACAGACACACCCAACGAGACTTAAATAGAACACTAATGAGGACTAACTAGACACAGGTGTACAACATCAAGACCAAACCAAACGAACATGAAACATAGATCGGTGGCAGCTACTACTCCGGGGACGACGACCGCCGATGCCTGCCCGAACCAGGAGGAGGAGCAGCCTCGGCCGAAACCGTGACACCTGTCCACAGAAGCAATCAATCAATCAGATTCCAAACTCTCCACCATGGCCAAGACCAAAGAGCTCTCCAAGGATGTCAGGGACAAGATTGTAGACCTACACAAGGCTGGAATGGGCTACAAGACCATCGCCAAGCAGCTTGGTGAGAAGGTGACAACAGTTGGTGCGATTATTCGCATATGGAAGAAACACAAAATAACTGTCAATCTCCCTCGGCCTGGGGCTCCATGCAAGATCTCACCTCGTGGAGTTGCAATGATCATGAGAACGGTGAGGAATCAGCCCAGAACTACACGGGAGGATCTTGTCAATGATCAAGGCAGCTGGGACCATAGTCACCAAGAAAACAATTGGTAACACACTACGCCGTGAAGGACTGAAATCCTGCAGCGCCCGCAAGGTCCCCCTGCTCAAGAAAGCACATATACAGGCCCGTCTGAAGTTTGCCAATGAACATCTGAATGATTCAGAGGAGAGCTGGGTGAAAGTGTTGTGGTCAGATGAGACCAAAATCGAGCTCTTTGCCATCAACTAAACTCGCCGTGTTTGGAGGAGGAGGAATGCTGCCTATGACCCCAAGAACACCATCCCCACCATCAAACATGGAGGTGGAAACATTATGCTTTGGGGGTGTTTTTCTGCTAAGGGGACAGGACAACTTCACAGCATCAAAGGGACGATGGACGGGGCCATGTACCGTCAAATCTTGGGTGAGAACCTCCTTCCCTCAGCCAGGGCATTGAAAATGGGTCGTGGATGGGTATTCCGGCATGACAATGACCCAAAACACACGGCCAAGGCAACAAAGGAGTGGCTCAAGAAGAAGCACATTAAGGTCCTGGAGTGGCCTAGCCAGTCTCCAGACCTTAATCCCACAGAAAATCTGTGGAGGGAGCTGAAGGTTCGAGTTGCCAAACGTCAGCCTCGAAACCTTAATGACTTGGAGAAGATCTGCAAAGAGGAGTGGGACAAAATCCCTCCTGAGATGTGTGCAAACCTGGTGGCCAACTACAAGAAACGTCTGACCTCTGTGATTGCCAACAAGGGTTTTGCCACCAAGTACTAAGTCATGTTTTGCAGAGGGGTTAAATACTTATTTCCCTCATTAAAATGCTAATCAATTTATAACATTTTTGACATGCGTTTTTCTGGATTTTTGTTGTTGTTATTCTGTCTCTCACTATTCAAATAAACCTACCATTAAAATTATAGACTGATCATGTCTTCGTCAGTGGGCAAACGTACAAAATCAGCATGGGATCAAATACTTTTTTCCCCTCACTGTACATATAGACTACTGTTCTCACATGGTATCTATGAATCAAATAATGTCCTGTAGTTTGTCATAGGGTATGTTTTAAATTAAAGGAAATGTGTGGCTTGCTGGCACCAAGATGTCATGGTTTTTGCTTTTTAGATGTATTACTATTGACGATGCACATGTTTTGACAATTTAAGAGGGTACACTTCTGACCAGATAAGAGGAGGCAGGAACAAACAGATGGGTTTTTAAGTAGATAAGAGGCAGGAACAGACAGATGGTTTAAGGCAGGATAAGAGGAGGCAGGAACAGACAGATGGTTTAATGTAGATAAGAGGCAGGAAAAGGCAAAAAGTAGAAAAAAAAGACCAACCTTTCTCCTCCTTGGACAGGAAGTCCACCTCGCCCTCTCTGGCCAGTACTTCCTGGTACATGTCCAATCCCTGGTTCAGCAGGGCGTCCATGGCCAATCGGGTGCTCTCGTTGTGGCTGAGGTCAATGTCGCTAGACACCATGGAGACAGATGGGTTTTTCCATCTCCTGTACACGCCGCCTCACCTTTCCCACCGGCTTGGACTTCAGGTACCACTGAACAGACAGGCCGTTGCTTTGCAGGTTCATAGTGAAGCTGTACAAGGCTCTCTGATCAACACGTATTACCTGTAGTTACCTACTGCTGCTACTGAGTGAAAAACCCTGGTAGAGACAGGGATGGAAGAGCAGCTGTGAGGTTTCTGAGGCCTGCCCCCATCACTTGTACAGTTGGCTACACCCATAGAAATAGAATTACATTGACTTGAATGGGGTCTAGTATTGCTATTTCTATAAGTACATTCCACCTGTGGGTTGCTGTGTGGTGGGGGACAGGTGTAGGCAGGACAGGTGAGCTGTTATGGGATTGAGAGCGTGACAGAGACCTGCTGTTTAAAGCACTCCCTCCCTTAGAGGGGGAGAGAAGTCTAGTTGAGTGACAGAGGTGAACATGACTGTCTGATCAGCTCAGTGGAGGCCGATAACACATGACTGCACTCTTCACAGACTGTCACTGCAATGTGCATCTATACCTTGCTCTCACTGTGAGACCATTGTCAAGCCTGCCTGATGGATCCACAGAGCCACTCATGTTTTAGATTATAGATTCAATATAAAACATTGGTAAGAAATAAATGTTTATATATCACACACACACACACACACACACACACACAATGTACAAAACATTAGGAACACCTTCCTAATATTGAGTTGCACCCCCTTTTGCCCTCAGAACAGCCTCAATTCGTCAGGGCATGGACTCTACAAGGTGTCGAAAGTGTTCCACAGGGATATGGCCCATGTTGACTCCAATGCTTCCCACAGTTGTGTCGAGTTGGTGAGATGTTCTTTGGGTGGTGGACCATTCTTGATACACACGGGAAACTGTTGAGCGTGAAAAACCCAGCAGCGTTGCAGTTCTTGGCACAAACTAGTGCGCCTGGCACCTACTACCATATCCCGTTCAAAGGCACTTAAATATTTTGTCTTGCCCATTCACCCTCTGAATGGCACACAATCCATTGTCTCAAGGCTTAAAAACCATTCTTTAACCTGTCTCCTCCCCTTCATCTACACTGATTGAAGTGGATTTAACAAGTGACCTCAATAAGGGGTCATAGTGTTCACCTAGTCATTCTATGTCATGGAAAGATATTATACCCTTGATGCTTTGTGGGCAATTAGGTGTTATAATATATTTCCACCAGTGGTGGTTGTGCCGTTTAAGATGAGGGAGGACCATTTTTTGTTTCTTGAGCATGGCCTTATTTCTATTACTGCATATTGGATGACTGTCATTCATATTCCATTCACCCAGCTCAATGTAACATCGATAGGTTTAGGCTACTACACGATACTCAGATTTTCACTATACCCATTATGAGGTTGCTACAACATAGCCTACGAATGAAAGTTTACAATGTAGATGCACAGGTCGAGAGAAATTTGAGTAATCAAGGTGACAGACAGTGACACATTCAATACCGCCTTGCACTTTTGCCTGCATCTAGCTGATCTAGAGTGTAATCATTAGTCCAACAGTTGCAAACGAGAGTTTCTATTGGACAAATTCATTTTTGCTTAGCCCGTTTCGTTCCATTTGCTTCCGTTTAAGAAATCGGTGGAATGAATACACCCCTGATCACACGCAAAAACTAGCAGCCACATATGAAACCGCATGATCACTTTGCTCGTTGTGTGTATATATATATATATATATATATATAAATAATTCCTTCTCGCATCTACGCTCTCTCCTCCTCTCACATTTTCCCTTCGCTTGTGGACTTCACTGCACAATACAACAGCTGCCTTTGACCAGACCAAAAAACCATTCCAAGCCAAACTTTTATACCACAACAGCTAACCGCTACACAGCCTACATCGTTGTCACCATATTAGCTAACGTCATAGTCAATATAGCTACTAGAACTAACGCGTTAGTAAATCTGCTACAATCACGCAGTACAGTGTACAGTCAGTAAGCAGTTTAGCAGTTACACCGGCGGGCCCCGGTGGTAATAAATTAATAAAACCAAAAGCTTACCTTGACTTGGAAGAGTTCCAGCTAGCTAACATAGCATCCCTCTCTTTTTGAGCGGGGTGTTTGAGTAGGCTAAACTAGCTAAACAACTACTCACCACATTTTATGCACTTCAGTGCTAGCTAGCTATAGCTTATACTTTCAGTACTATATTACTTATCTGATCTTTTGATTGGGTGGACAACATGTCAGTTCATGCTGCAAGAGCTCTGATAGGTTGGAGGACGTCCTCCGGAAGTTGTCATGATTACTGTGTAAGTCTATGGAAGGGGGTGAGAACCATGAGCCTCCTAGGTTTTGTATTGAAGTCAATGTACCCAGAGGCGGACGGAAGCTGGCTGTCCTCCGGCTACAGTGTACACCATGGTGCTACCCTACAGAGTGCTGCTGAGGCTACTGTAGACCTTAATTGCAAAACAGTGTGTTTTAATAAATTATTTGGTGAAATGTGAATATTTAGTATTGTTTTATCTTAAAAGGATCACTTTAATGTTTCACAATTTTTATGAAATTGACTTAGGAGGATGGTCCTCCCCTTCCTCCTCTGAAGAGCCTCCACTGATGGGCACACCCAAACATCAAAACAGGCAAAGCGTCAATACAGGACTAAGATCGAATATTACTACACCAGCTCTGGCGCTAGTCGGATGTGGCAGGGCTTGCAAACTATCACGGATTACAAAGGGAAACCCAGCCACAAGCTGCCCAGTGACGCGAGCCTACCAGACGAGCTAAATGCCTTCTATGCTCGCTTCGAGGCAAGCAACACTGAAACACGAATGAAAGCACCAGCTGTTCCGGATGACTGTGATCACGCTCTCCGTAGCCGATGTGAGTAACACCTTTAAAACAGATTAACATTCACAAGGCCGCTGGACCAGACGGATTACCAGGACGTGTACTCAGAGCATGCGCTGACCAGCTGGCAAGTGTCTTCACTGCCATTTTCAACTGGTCCCTGACCCAGTCTGTAATACCTACATGTTTCAAGCAGACCACCATAGTCCCTGTGCCCAAGAACGCCAAGGTTACCTGTCTACCTGTCTAAATGACCATCGCCCCGTAGCACTCACATCTGTAGCCATGAAAGGCTGTGAAAGGCTGGTCATGGGCTCCCGAGTGGCGCAGCGGTCTAAGGCACTGCATCTCAGTGCTTGAGGCGTCACTACAGACCCCCTGGTTCGATTCCAGGCTGTATCACAACCGGCCGTGATTGGGAGTCCCATAGGGCGGCGCACAATTGGCCCAGCGTCGTCCGGGTTTGGCCGTTATAGGCAGTCATTGTAAATAAGAATTTGTTCTTAACTGACTTGCCTAGTTAAATAAAGGTAAAATAAAACAAAATCAACACCATCATCCCAGGCAACCTGAACCCACTCCAATACCATCATTAGATTTGCCGACGACACAGCGGTAGTAGACCTGATCACCGATGACTATGAGACAGCCTATAGGGAGGATAATCAGAGACCTGGAAGTGTGGTGCCAGAACAAGAACATCTCCCTCAACGTCAGCAAGACAAAGGAGCTGACCGTGGACTACAGGAAATGGAGGGCCGAGCACGCCTCCGCTTGGTATGGCAACTGCTTGGTGGAATCCAACTGCAAGGTGCTACAGAGGGTAGTGCGTACAGACCACTACATCACTGAGGCCGAGCTCCCTTCCATCCAGGACCTCTCTACCAGGTGGTGTCAGAGGAAGGCCCTAAAAAAAAGACTCCAGCCACCCAAGTCATAGACTGTTCTCTCTTCTACCGCACTGCAAGCAGTACTGATGCACTAAGTCTGGAACCAGCAGGTCCCTGAACAGCTTCTACCCCCAAAACATAAGACTGCTAAATAGTTAGTTAAATAGTTAACCAAATAGCTACCCGGACTATCTGAGCCTTTTTGCACTAACTTTGTCTCATCACATTTGCTGCTGCTACTGTTTATTATCTGTCAATGTATTCCAAGTTATATATACACATATCTACCTCAATTACCTCGTACCCTTGCACATCAACTCGGTACTGGTACGTAAGTTATCATTACTCATTGTGTATTTATTATAACTTGTTTTACTTTTCTATTATTTCTCAATTTTCTTTCTCTCTGCATTGTTGGGAAGGGCCTGTGAGTAAGTTAGTCCACACCGGTTGTTTACGAAGCATCTGACAAATACAATTAGCTAAGGCTTTATTAAAGGATAATTACCTGGATACCTATGCTGAGGTAAGCAAGCCATAATTTACCATCAGACCAAAGCACGACTGGTGAGTATAGTCTGGCAAAGACTTAAACTAGTCAACATGGCAGAGATTAAATGACTCAAAGTTGATTCAACAATACTTAAAAACACATTTAAAACAACTTAAATAACATAATATAAATACACTTTAAAATGCACACAGGAGAGGGTTTTGCTACAAACCTCATTAAGACCATGGAATGTTTTCATTGGCTAGTGACCACCAGGGTTGTGGTTAGTGGACAGCTGTTCCTTAAATCAAATAACATCAGCATCTTCTTTCAAAATGATAAATGAGCAGAAAACCACAAAACATTTCAGTTTCGTTTTCAAGTCTAGATATGCAAAACAAAAAGGCACAGCTGACACCTGAGAGATGGTGTGTGTGTGTGTGTGTGTGTGTGTGTGTGTGTTGTGGTCACTGTGAGACAGGGGAGTGTGAGGTGGTAGAGTTGGAGTTTTTGGCACGGGCCGCCAGTTTCTGCCGCAGCTCTCTGATGTCCTGCATCAACTCCCTCTCTCTGCAGTCCAGCTCCCCTCGACCCCGGTCCAGAGAGACTGAGAAAACAAGATACCACAGGACTCATCAGGGTCAGGGTCTTACTGTATGGATCTACACTCAGCAAGATTACAGTGGGAACGGGCACATTGGGAACACTGAATAATTTATTGGTTGATCTGAAATGTTTTGATATTTTCTTATGGAGTACAGATCTGACAAACCTAACTTTAAATGCAGTGGTGTAAACAGTGAATGTGATAGGGACAGCCAGCAATACTCACAGCTAGTGGAGTCGTCTGAGGTGGACTGGTTGTTTAGACAGATGTTGTTGGGACTGTGACGTTGTTGAGACTGACCAGGAGCAGGAGAAGCAACAGGTTTGGGAAGCAGGCCTCTAGTGGAGCACGGAGACCTGGCTCTCATCTCCCACTGTTGACCTGCCAAAACATTCTCTATTAGTCACTGCCTGCCTTAGAGGAACACTGAAACCTTCAACATTAACCATTGGCTTAGAGGAACGCTGAAACCTTCAACATGAACCATTGCCTTAGAGGAACGCTGAAACCTTCAACATGAACCATTGCCTATTTGTACCCTTCTGTCATTGTTGTGGTGTATGTTGGTATGAATAAAAAGCATACTGCAACATTAGGTGATAGGACTGTAGTGTAGGTGGTGGGGTAGAATGCTCAGCATGTAGCAGATATAAATATAATGTCTAGAGTGGACCCAACTGCCTACTCTCTTCACAACACAGAAGAATGTCTGTCCTACAACATGTATTTCTATGGTGCTGGGCTCACTGAGTGAGTGGTCCTGGCTCCTGCGGAGGTTGTCTCTGTGCTGCTCCGTCTCCTCTTCCTCCTGGCTGAGGAAGACTCTCCTGTTGGCCTCAGCTGTGGCTGCAGCCTGCCTCTCCTCCTCTAGCTGGGCCTTCTGAGACACCACCTCTTCCCACTGAAACACACAATGTAATATACACCACCTCTTCCCACTGAAACACACAATGTAATATACACCACCTCTTCCCACTGAAACACAACAATGTAATATACACCACCTCTTCCCACTGAAACACACAATGTAATATACACCACCTCCTCCCACTGAAACACACAATGTAATATACACCACCTCTTCCCACTGAAACACAACAATGTAATATACACCACCTCTTCCCACTGAAACACACAATGTAATATACACCACCTCTTCCCACTGAAACACACAATGTAATATACACCACCTCTTCCCACTGAAACACAACAATGTAATGTACACCACCTCTTCCCACTGAAACACACAATGTAATATACACCACCTCTTCCCACTGAAACACAGAATGTAATGTACACCACCTCCTCCCACTGAAACACACAATGGCTGAACACACTACACACCCCCTCCTCCCACTGAACACACCACCTCCTCCCACTGTAAATCAATGACACTAGCCCGCCCAGTGTAAGAGCATTCAGTTGATCAAGGTACAGTTCATCAACAGGTACAGTAACTAATAGGACTTGTTGACAATGACCCTCAATAACCTACTGTATATAGCCTCCTCTACTATTGTTACCACAGACATCATATAGCCTACACAACATGATCATCTCTCGTCCTACCCCCTGTCCCTCCATGTCCTCCATGATGTTGACTAGCTGCTCCTCCTTGGTGCGGGTCTCTCTGTGTAGTCCAGCCAGCTGGTGGTAGTGTCTGTCTTGGTCTGCATCCTCCTGGTCTAGACGCCTCATCACCTCAGCCTGCCACTCTGTGTCCACTCCCAGCTGGCCTGCTTCGGCTAGACACTCCTGTAGAACCTGAGACAGGGAGGAGGTCAGTCTCCATCTGTTGAACGCAGTACCCCTATCTGAGAGAGCTTCTTTAATCCATTCAGGTCCGTGACAGATATGAATATTTTCCTTTTGTGCAGCTGTCACAAATCGGAATAATTGTAATATAATGTTTTAATACCCCCTCCCCAGATCTTCTTATTATACTATATTCAGTCTCTGGAAGTATGCAGAAGACGAATGCTTACCTTCTTGGTTCCCAGGCTGATGTCAGTGTCGTTGTTAAGGAGGTGTTGGAAGGTGGTCTCCTCGACCTCTGACCTGTGTCTCCTGGTGTCCACCTCTGCTCTCACCTCCTGAGTCACACGCACCTGCTCCTTGGACAGTTGCTACGACACAAGGATTACATCATGACATCACTGTCTGGTGAATGAAGACCAAGCCATACTGTAGCTGGATATCGTTCAAATGGCCAATGTTAAATGATGTGCGGTGTCTTAACTTTATGCTGCAAGGAATACAATGTGGTGAAAATGTGAATGACAGGATAAGTGTTTGGCTCAGGGGCAGGTCTGTGCACAATGCTGATTATCAAGTAGATAACCTTAGAGCCACTGACCAGTTCAAACAGGCGTCTCTGTGCTTCCAGCTCCATCTGTCTGACTTCTATATCCTGTACTGCTGCTGCCGTCTCCTGGTCTCTGGTGTTCATCTGACCCCAACAAACACACCATACAGTAGAGTACATATAGACACCCCATTATATACAGTATAGTACATATAAACACCATTATATACAGTATAGTACATGTAAACACCATCACATTACACACAAAATAAAACGATGGTTGAAAGAATGCATCTCTTCCTTTCAATATTAAAACACAGGCCGGTGCCTGAAGTGAAAACAGACCTTCCTCTGTATCTGGTCGTCCAGTCTGTGTAGTTCAGTCAGTCTCTGGTCCTGCTGGTGTTTCAGGAAGCGTCTCCTGGCCGCATCCATCAGCTGGAGCTCCTTCACCTTCAACTCACGCTTCATGGCTGTTAACCTGGAGATGGGACACATTACAGACTGTCAGAGAGACTAACCTGGAGACACATTACAGACTGTCAGAGAGACTAACCTGGAGACACATTACAGACTGTTTGTTAGACTAAGCTGGGGACACATTACAGACTGTTCGATAAATGAACCTTGGACCAGGGAACTCAAGTCTATTTCAGCTTAATTGGTGACATCACATTTAATGGGCTTCTACCAAGTCATTTATGAGGATCAATAACTATGTAAATCGGAGTGTCATGTTGAGTGTGATATTACGCGAGAATGCACTTCCTTCTGAGGATGCTGACTGAATGCTCCTACATGATGCATGCACAATTCTGGCTTGGAGGGTGAATGATTGATATAATAAATTGGTGTACATAAATGACTGTATGTATGTCTGTTCTCTGACCTGGTTCTCTGTTCAGCCAGCTTACTCTCCTCCTGCTGTAGGATGTCCCTGCGTTTCTCCTCAGCCTGCTGCAGTAACTCCTGCTGGGAGTACCACGCCTCGTCCTCAGCCTGCCTCTGAACCGCCTCCGCACGCAGCTCCTGCACCGCCTGCCTGGAGAGACACACACACACACACACATCTGACACTGTTCTTTGACACAAACACCGAAGAAGGCTTTGACCGAAACGTTCGTGTCAAGCTTTTCCCCCTGCTACTGCAAGAAAAAACAGACATAAGATATTAGAGTTTACTTTGTGTGAACCTTATTTTCTTTGCCAGTGTTCTAGAATGCCACAGAAAGGACAAGGTGATAATGATATAATCTGACCTCTCTCTGAGGTACTCCACCTCCTGCTGGCGTATCCTCTCTCTCTCCTGAGACTGGTATTCCACTATGTAGGTGGGGTACTTGTTGAAGACAGGGTACTGTCCCCTGGTCAGAGGCTGAAAGTCAGCCAGCATGGTCCTAGGGTGGATGTCTGCTGGGGTGCTCTCCATCAGCCTGTATGTCTCCTTTATCATGGAGCTGATGTCCAGGTTGTTACGGTGGTGGAAGAAATACTGGGGGGGAGGAGCGAGAGAGAGAATCAAAAGTGTGCATTTTCCCTTTATGGACAAGAATGTAAATATACTGTAGCTGCAAGCAGCAATGAACAGGGTTCACAAGATGGCAGAAAGAACACCTTGTTCATCGTTTCCTTTTTGAAATTAAAATGTTTTATATATCAATGCCAACTTAACATGGTTCATCATGGTAATGTCTTTGATGACCCTAAACAGTTTGAAGTTGACAGGCCATTGTGGAGTGGATTTACAAAGGATTGATCAATAACTCAGCCATCTCTCAAAATCTATCCTGACGGACCTTATGGCAGAATCGCATTAGTGGAAACCAAGACTGTTCTCAGGGCAGGCCTGGTTGTAGATAGATATGTTAAGAGTTGCGTCAGGGAAAGTCTATAGCATTTTAGCTAACCCTAACCCTTAACCTAATTTTCCTAACCTGCCATGTTAATTCTCCTAACCTGCTGCGTAAGTTCTCTTAACCTGCTACAAAAAGTAACTCCTGTTAGTCCAAACCGGCAGACCTGCCCTGAGAACAGTGCAAGTATCGACTCATGTGATAGTGCTTTGATGGGTCCTTGAGGCAAATTTGTTCAGCATGAGGAAGACACCTACATACAAAGTTCCAAGTCAGGGGTATTCAACTGGGGCTGAACACATTTTGAATGACATACCTACAGTAGAAAAGAGGAGAATATCTTCATTCTAATGACGTCAACTTTATTTCTCAACTTCTAATATTGAGCAAATTACAGTCATTGGAGCCCATTACACTTAGTGGAATATCTGACATAGGTTTTAGAAGTTTACACTTCCTCTTCCAAATATAATCTGGAGTGGTCAAAATAATGAAAAACTATTTACCAAATCTATTCATTTGAAAATGTTGATTACTTCTCTTTTCCATTATTATTCACCTGATGATAAAACATGACATTTGCATTACATTTTTTTGCTAACGTATGATGGGGGTTCCTGGGAGGGGGTCCCTGGCCAAGAAAAGGTTGGTCAAACGGGGCGACGGATATGAGGGTTTAAGTGAGACTGCTTATAACCTTGCCACCTATAGGTCAATTAGTGCCATTATTTATGATCAAGTTAGTCATGGCTTATAGTTTATGTGTGCCAAATTTGAAGAGAAAAATTTACCATCTATGCTTGGGTTATTTGACCATGTCAAAAATTAAATGCAGCTTTGCTGTGAACACCTAATAAATTAGAGTAGAGTAACAATGTTAAAAGGATGCAAATAATGTTCTGTTATTCAATATTCATGCTTAATATACAATTCTGAGACTGGCGCAGTAGTCATGACAACATACATAGTAGCATATAGTCATAACATTAAGTCATAGAAAGGGCCTAACCTATGAAAGTGTCCCTTCCCATGGTTTATATAAAACATCTTACCTCAAACCTTCCCATGGTTTATATAAAAACATCTTACCTCTAACCTTCCCATGGTTTATATAAAAACATCTTACCTCTAACCTTCCCATGGTTTATATAAAAACATCTTACCTCTAACCTTCCCATGGTTTATATAAAAACATCTTACCTCAAACCTTCCCATGGTTTATATAAAATATCTTACCTCAAACCTTCCCATGGTTTATATAAAAACATCTTACCTCAAACCTTCCCATGGTTTATATAAAATATCTTACCTCAAAGTCCTCTTTGTGGCTGCAGACCAGTAGTGGAGCGCGGCAGCAGGTGACATAGGAGACCACAGAAACCAATAGGAAGGCAGGATGGTTAGAGAAGATGTTGTCAAACAGTTTGAGCCACTCATCTCTGGTCAGCACCTCAGAGAACAGAGTCTCTAACAGGGGCCAGACGTACAGCTGGAGGAGAGAGGGAGAGGAGGAAATGATGCACCATTCAATATTAGTAAAACCTGTTATACGCACATCCAACTTGGCACAGGAGCTGGCCACGGAAGAACAACAGTAGAAAATGTATATCACTGAACTCTTGTTTGTGGGAGCAAATAAAAAACAATCATACAATACTTGTGTCATTACAATAAAGTTGTAAAGAGTTTAAAAAGAGATCTCCTGGTAGTCTCACCTGAGAGGTGACTCCACAGTCGATGAGGTGCTGCAGCAGTTCCTTGTCATGGTGAGCCAGAACATTCTCTGCCATGCTCAGTACGTTGAGAGGGGAGTTGGGGAAGTATTCAAACCAGTGCTGGCACCAGTTCACTGGAAAGGACAAACAAAACTGTTGATATCCTATTTTCCAACCAAAGTGCATCAACAAAGTTACATAAACAAGGTACATGAAAAGCAAACTGAAAAAGTGACAAATATTCAGCAACTCTAAGATAGCAAACAGGGCCAACATGAAAGGACAAGTGAAACATTATATAGTTTCTAGTACTGTATGTCCAGAACCTATAATGGTGGCGACCACTTCAAAACAGAGCAGTGGGTTGTTCTGGAAGAGCTTGACGAAGGGAAATGCCACCAGAGGGAGGTAGTCCGTCTCTCCAAAGATGGCCGCCCAGTGGGCTAGAGCAGACAACACTCTGTGTAGGCGGACAAGAGATGGAAATGACAGAACTGTCAGATATACCCAACATGATTCATAGAAATGACAGCATTGTCAGATATACCCACAATAACTAATAATCTAGGACTTTTTGATAAAAATTGAAGGACCATTAACTCCTAATATTAATAGTTCCAGATCATCTGAACCTGCCCATGCCAGGCCATTATGACAGCAGGCCTATATGCCAGCCAGGTAAGTGGTATTTATACCTTTGTAGTCCCCGCTGCAGTTTATGGCTCTTGATGGGGTATCGCTCCTGGATACTGAGGTAGGAAGAGTGCAGGCCTTTATCGGTCAGACTGCTGAAGGCTGCGTGGTTCTCTGGCAGACGCAGGAGGGACCTCCACACAAACATCCTGAGGAGAAATAAACACAAGATCATCATAATGGAGTCCATGTACTGTAATGTATAAGATCATCATAATGGAGTCCATGTACTGTAGTGTATAAGATCATCATAATGGAGTCCATGTACTGTAGTGTATAAGATCATCATAATGGAGTCCATGTACTGTAGTGTATAAGATCATCATAATGGAGTCCATGTACTGTAGTGTATAAGGAGCAGATTGTATGTTGCTGCCCCTCGTTAAACTGTGACACCTTGGCCCCGATTCCTGATTTGTAGCTAGTTACCTGTATTTAGCTGGATATTCTCCAAATGCCTTCAGTAACACCACAAGCCTCTTCTTGTTTAGACCGTCAGGCAGTTCATTCTGAAAAAGCAAATCCACAATCAGTTGAATGCCTCACTTGATTCAAAAGAACATCATTCAAAATCTGGATGAGGAAAACCAATGCTGAAATCATCAGACAGCGTGTCTCCTGACCAGAGAAGAGAAATAAATAAGGTCATGCTATTATACGGTGACTATGAGATTATACCAGTATCTATGCTTCTGTCTGCCATGTGTTTCTGTATGCTCTACAGATGTACCATCTTAATTTGAGGCAGTTTTGCTACAGAAGGAAAATTATTCTACAGCAACAGGAAATATGAATTATAATGTGGATTTTAATTAATGGACATTTTGTGTAGTGGTTAAAGTCTGACATTTTTAAGTGGAAATTACTAACTTTAGAAGCCTTTTAAAACCTTGAATATACGTTTGCATTTCCTGTTGCGCAACAAAAGAGTGATCAAATGAAGATCCTACATATGTACCTCTTTATCCTCTGTCATGGGGACAGCTGGAGGCCTAAGGACTTTGGTCTTGACCCGTCGACCGGAGGTTTTTGGCCGGCCGCTGGACAGCTTCTGACTTCACCTTCATCGTCAGAGCAGAACACGCTCCACCAGACACCACTTTGACCAGGGGCGGAGGAGGCTAGGAGAGGATGGCGAGAGGCTCAGGGGAAGGCAGAAACATGATTGATGTGTGCTAATCTAACAATTACACAGATTAAACAAAGCTGCCTGTGTCATTTAGCAAAATTCAAGGAGACTTATCAGATTAACTGCCTTTCTAATAATTCTGATTATTGCTACCTTGTTGTAGTCCTGGGTCAGACACTGAACACTGTAGATGTTCAGGCTGCCGTTGTCCATTATAGTGACAATATGGCGTCCGTTGGGACTGACGGTGGCTGAGGTGATGGCGTCATCATGGGATCCGATGTCAAAGATCAACTTGCAGGTCTGGATGTTGATGAAACGCATCATACCATCCTGACTCAGCACCCCAAGAGTCTGAAGAACAAAAACAAAATGTTTTCTAATTTACTTGTCTGAGACCAACCACTGAGACAAATAAAGCATGTTCTCCAAAAAAACATCAGTATCAGATAGCATTGGCTGTACATTGGCTGCTTCCTTGGCAAGAGCTCACTTGAAAAAGAGATGTAAAACTCAATGTGACTTCCTTGGTTAAATAAATGATCAATAAATAGAATGAATAAATACATACCTGGCTGGCCCCACCGTCGAAGCTGTCTGGTAGGAACTCCAGCTGTCTGACAGAGCGGACCTTAGGAGGCATCTGGACCACTCTAAGCAGCTGCCTGGTGTCCAGACACCACAGATGGAGAAGGTTGGATCTTCCCCCTGCAGCCAATGTCTTCCCATCACTGTGATGAGAACACAGACGGTTTTAGGAAGACATCACTGGTACTGACTATCTGTTTTGTTGTTCAGGATTTATCAGGGCTTATCTGTAATAGTCATAACCCCACAGACAGACACACTTTTGTACATTAGACTTCCACTTCCACTCAACCTTTCAAAAACACACACACACACACACACACACACACACCGTGTGACTGCAAATGCCTTGTAGTGTATCCTGGGTCCCTCATCAGGAACAGGCAGCTGGTATTTGCAGAACAACGTGTCACTCTCCCAGGCAAAGATGGAGTCATCGTTGAAACAGCTGAGGATGGTGTTACTCAGAGGAAGAAAGAACACCTAGAAAAAAGAACACACACACAGTTCAATGTTCTACAAATTGTTTAGAGTTCTACAAAATGTAAAATATAAAAAGGCACTGTATGAATTTTGCCATTATTTATTCATTGTATTGTCTAATCTGAAAAATGAAATGATTCTGTTCTGTAAATCCAAATGATCTAACCCTCTGTATGCCGACAGATTGACGGACATTGAGTTTCCTCTTCCTCTGGAAGGTGTCTAGGTCCCAGAGCTGAGCCGTGTCAGCTGATGTAGTGATGGCGTAGCGGCCAGAGCCATGGACCGACACGGAGGATACCGCCCCCTCGTGACCCCGCATCCAGCTCACCAGCTGCTTCGTATCTGATGGAATCAAACAAACAATCAATCAGTTTATTGTTCCAATTGGCAAACACCCACCAAAAACTCCATTATCTGATGGAATCATTGGTCTTTCAATGTACTGGAAGTTTGGGTATACGGGCCAATATACCACAGAAGATGACTTTACCCTCCTCAATCAGCTAATCAGTTCCTAACCTTTTGGAAAACAATTAAGCAGCAATGTAGGGAGTCATACCTTTGTCAAAGCACTTGATGGAGTAGTCTGCAAGAGCAACCAAGAATTCCGTTGTTCTGCGCAAGTTGAAAGCCAAGGCAGTGCATGCTTGACCGGTTTTCTGAACAAGTCTAAATCTGGAGAGAGACAGAACAGATGAGCACGGCCTGCATAAGTAAGAGTATTGTGATGCAATGAAACCGAAAAATTAAAAAAAAATAATGTATGCACTCACTAACTGTAAGTCGCTCTGGATAAGAGCGTCTGCTAAATGACTAAAATGTAAAATGTAAATGAAACAACTACTTCAAGGTCTCAGAGCGAGTGACGTCACTGATTGAAACGCTACTAGCGCGCACCGCTAACTAGCTAGCCATTTCACACCGGTTACACAATGCAATATTGTGGTGTTGACAGTGACTGACATACCACACCTGTTTCTGGTGATGTCCAAGGCATAAATATTCCCATGGTGGTCTCCAGCCAGGAAAGAGTCCCCTGTAGTGTCAAAGGTGACATGAAGGAAGCGGACTGTTTTGGACTGGTAGGCAGCTGCACTGCGAATCACTGTGACCATCACCCTGTTAAAGCAAAAACGGTTATTATGGTCAACATACAAGATGCGCGTCTAGACAAGAATGCAAAGCACAGCTTCTATTGAAGATATGTAGAAACAGACAATAACAATCGCCTCTCGTTTACGATCAAAAACACTCAACAGCCAGGCTTCCCTATCACAAGATGATGGAGACTCAACAAGTGGGTTATGAGCTAACGTTATCCTTTGAAATTACCTACCCAGCATTACTTGGTGTTGGTTTTCGATGCCATACTTTTCCCTCCTCCTTGTTTCCAATGTCAGTCGTCTGCATTTTTTTTTAATGAGCAGAATTTGAGATATTATACGTTTGGATCTAGCTAGCTAGCAGTGGTAACTTAATCACAGTTGATTAGCTGGCCGGAATACCAGCCTATCGTTTGGCAGTCAGTACAGCGCGAAATTTGAAAGAACACGTTATTGCTGGTCTCCAATCGCAAGAAGAAAATTCACAAGTATATTATCGAGAAATCAACATCGCGCTAAATGATTTATTGAGAACAAAACTCAAATGAAATCCGTAATTATAAATCTGTCTTCAGTTAGAAAGTTGTCAGCGGTTATGTTGTCGCTTCTTGACTGACGTCACGAATGGCATGTAAACAGTAGCAGGAATTGTGGGTATTGGAGTTCTTTAGGATCAAATTGGTTAAATTTGAGGATTTGCAATTTGAAACCTCCCTGTGTAGATTTACCACAGTTAAAAAGGTAGAATAGAGAAAAAACTCAAATGTGATTGTGCTATAGTCATTAATGCTAATTATATGGGGTGTGGATAACATAGCATAGTCCATGGAGGTGGACAAGGACCACTGCCATGCCACGTTTTGGTTTAGCAAAAATTATGATAGGTGGACACTTTCTCAATGTGATCACAATACAATACTGTATCAAATGTATGTAGCTAGCTACAGTATTTGACAACTGTCTTATTTGCCTGTGCTAGTGCAAAAAAAACGCCCCTTTCATGTGTTGTGGCTCATTCTCTGTGGCTGAATGTTAGCTAGCTGTGCAAAGGTTAGTGCTATCTGGAACCCTTGGGAAGTCCCTACCCTAAACCTAGGCACTTTTAGCAATGCGGGTGTAATTACATACACTAGCGTTGCTCTCAATTGTATTGAGACAAATTATCTTAAAGGATCATATTATTAAACAGACTTTCCAAACGTGGGTCTGTTGTATACCCAGTTCCTCTCTGCTGACCTCATGTCAAAATACAAGTCCTGCACGTGCACCATATGTGGACAAAAAAGGAAAAACTTGTGTGGGGACTTTTATTTTGACATTAGGTAATTAGAGAGGATGTGGGTCTACAACAGACCTACGTTTGGAAAGTGTGTTTAATAATTTGATCCTCTAGATATTTTGTCTCAAATTCCCCAGCCATAATGACCAACCGTCCTGCCTACCGGCACAGTAAGTTCAAATGCAGTTCTATTTAACTTCTGGCTTCCCACGGAATGTTTTTGTGCAACCCAACACAATTGAATGCAATGCTACTGTATGTAAACACTACACCCGCTTGCTAAAAGCACCTACCCTAACCTTAACCCTTAACTACACTGAACAAAAATATAAATGAAACATGTAAAGTGTTGGTCCCATGTTTCATGTAAATGAGCTGAAATTTTAAAAAAAATACATTTTCCATAAGCGCTTAAAGCTTATTTCTCTCAAATTTTGTGCACAAATTTGTTTACATCCTTGTTAGTGAGCATTTCTTCTTTGCCAAGATAATCCATCCACCTGACAGCTGTGCTGGAGACAATAAAAGGCCACTCTAAAATGTGCAGTTTTGTCACACAACCCAATGCCACAGATATCTAAAGTTTTGAGAGAGCGTACAATTGGCATGCTGACTGCAGGAATGTCCACCAGAGCTGTGCCAGAGAATTTAATGTTAATTTCTCTACCATAAGCCGTTTTAGAGAATTTGGCACTACCTCCAACTGGCCTCAAAACCGCAGACCACGTGTAACCACGGCAGCCCAGGAACTCCACATCCGTCTTCTTCACCTACAGCATCGTCTGAGACCAGCCACCCCGACAGCTGATGAAACTGTGGGTTTGCACAACCAAAGACTTTCTGTACAAACTGTCAGAAATCGGCTCAGGGGAAGCTCATCTGCGTGCTCGTCGTCCTCACCAGGGTCTTGATCTGAGGAGGCTGCTGAGGGGAGGACGGCTCATAATAATGGCTGGAACGGAGCGAATGGAATGGCATCAAACACATGGGAACCAGCCATTACCACCAGCCCGTCCTCCCCAATTAAGGTGCCACCAACCGCCTGTGGTCTTGACCTGACAGCAGTTCGGTGTCGTAACCGACATCAGTGGGCAAATGCTTACCATGAATGGATGAATCCCGGTTTCAACTGTACTGGGCAGATGGCAGACAGTGTATATGACGTCGTGTGGGCGAACGGTTTGCGGGTGTCAACATTGTGAACAGAGTGCCCCATGGTGGCGGTGGGGTTATGGAATCGGCAGGCATAAGCTAATGATATGGGCAGGCATAATATATGGACAACAAACACAATTGCATTTTATCAATGGCAATTTGAATGCACAGAGATGCCATGATGAGATCTGAGGGCCCATTATCGTGCCATTCATCCGCTGCCATCACCTCATGTTTCAGCATGATAATGCACGGCCTCATGTCGCAAGGATCTGTACACAATTCCTGGATGATGAAAATGTCCCAGTTCTTCCATGGCCTGCATACTCACCACACGTCACCCATTGAGCATGTTTGGGATGCTCAGGATTTACGTGTACAACAGTGTGTTCCAGTTCCCGCCAATATCCAGCAACTTTGCACAGCCATTGAAGAGGATTGGGAAAACATTCCACAGGCCACAATCAACAGCCTGATCAACTCTATACAAAGGGGATGTGTCACCCTGCATGAGGCAAATGGTGGTGTCATCAGATACTGACTGGTTTTCTGAACCATGTCCCTACCTTTTTTTTAAAGGTATCTTTGACCAACAGATACATATATGTATTCCCAGTCATGTGAAATCCATAGATTAGGGCCTAATTTATTTATTTCAATTGACTGATTTCCTTATATGAACTGTAACTCAGTACAATCTTAGAAATTGTTGCATGTTGTGTTTTTATATTTTTGTTGAGTGTAAATCATTTAAAATGTCAACTTCAATGGGGTAACGTCAGAGTTGTGACGTCCCAAGGATCCCAGATAGCAAGGACTGATGTGCAAATTTGACAGGAAGTGAGCAGTTCAAGAGCTAGTCGCGAGAACATTGAGGTATAATAAGAAGCCACGTCATGAAAACTTGACTGAGGAACACAACGTTCGTGAATAATTGTTGTCATCGAAAGGGAGTTATAACACAAGGGATATCGCCAGTCGCCACAGGACTTCGGGTCTGTTAATTTGCCTTTAGGCAATTATTTGACTGTGGTCGTTTTGCCAAGATCGTATGGAAAGATGTCAGATATCGGGGACTGGTTCAAAAGCATCCCGTTCATCACCCGGTACTGGTTTGCTGGGTCGATTGCTGTTCCCTTGATAGGTAAATTGGGACTAATCAGTCCCATGTACCTCGTCTTATGGCCAGAGAACTTCTTTCACAAATTTCAGGTACGTTATGGGCAGTGGGTTTGTTTATGTGCGCTACAATTCGCTGTGTTGCTATGATAGCCTAGCATCAAGGCTAGTAGGCCTTGGATTGTACGAGGGGTGTGAATTCAGTCCAATCACAAAACAAAGAGGTAGGACTTCCGGGATGCATGAAGACGCTAGTTCGATGATAGGATAGCAGCAATTTCAATAGCAAATATGTACAAATTAACTACAAGGTTATTTCGAAAGGTTTGGTGAATATCTCACAAATATATGGTGATATTCCTGCATTTGTTATAGGTTTGGTCGTGAGGTCAATACAATTCCACCAGGTGGTGCTATCCCATCCACCTTTGGACAGCCTCATCATAACTGGCACCTCCCACATTACATACAGTAGTCATCATGACTCAAGCAAGCAAGGGTTTCATCATCATCGTCTTCTGACAGGTGGTGTCACTAGATGTCACTAGACCCTTCTTTTGTTACTGGACCCCAGCTGTCAGGCACACACACCACAAACACACACATTTACATTTTAGTCATTTAGCAGACGCTCTTATCCAGAGCGACTTACAGTTAGTGAGTGCATACATTTTCATACAGGACATTTCACATTCTTAAAATAAAGTGGTGATCCTAAATGACCTAAAACAGGGAATTTTTACTCTGATTAAATGTCAGGAATTGTGAAAAGCTGAGTTTAAATGTATTTGGCTAAGGTGTATGTAAACTTCCGACTTCAACTATATTTAGCCATGGAGCACGTTCTGATTGGCCAGTGAGGGGTCAAGCCTTGACACACCTTTAACTTGTTTATTCAAGTTGACGGTAGTGGTGGCACAGTAGCCACCACCAGCTACTGCGCCCATAATTCTGGTTGTGAAAATAGCAAAAATATTTCTGACACACCCGTGAATCTATAGCGCTAACGCCAGCGCTTACAACTTGACCAAACTGGCCCCATTGTGCACATGTTGATTTTGTCTATCCCACACAAACCACAAACCCACACACACCACAAACACATCCAGGGTGGACAGTTTCAGTTCTCGGCCCTGACAGCTCAGCTGACTACTGGTTATGCTAATCGCTACATCTCGGTTTGTGGTTGTGCGTGGTAATGTTTAACATTATATTCATCTTTTCACTATTATGGCTGTACGTTGGTTATGCAGGTAAGAATGAGGACATGTAGCTTATCATATATTCCTTACAGTTTATTAGCTATCTAAATTATTTAAAATGTATTTATTTAGCTAGCACCGTTCAGATATCTACAATGTAGCTAACTAGCCTACATTTAGCTTGTACCTAAAAGGCTAAACAAATTTGACGCCACAGTGATGTTTTCATTCATATGTGTGGATTTATTGCACTTCGGCTGACATTTTTATGTTCTCAGAGAGCAAAATTGCTGTCAAGGGACCGAGTATGAAAAATGTATGCACTCACTAACTGTAAGTCGCTCTGGATAAGAGCGTCTGCTAAATGACTAAAATGTAAATGTAATGTAAAATGTTATCTTGTGAGGGCAGAGCAGGTTTCCATTGGCGAGGCCACAGCTGGCACACCTGTGCTGGGCTGTTGTTCCATTGGGTTTTTGTGGAGAGAAAGAAATCAGTGCAGTGCCCCAACCCAGTCAGCTGTTCATATGGCCCAGGGTGTATGTTTTAGGGTTGTCAACAAAACATGAAGCAGACTTCATTTCTTGAGAAAAAAACATTCTAAAGTTGCAAACACACAGCCTTATGTTGTCAGCAGTCACATTCGTTTTTTCTCCAAACTAGGCCTGTATCACACAATATGTTACATACAGGCAGGTTTTAAAGGACAATATGTTACATATATGCAGGTTTTAAATGACCATAGAGTTTAGCCTGCTTTGTGTTTTCGTGGTATCACAATACTGGTATGGTATCCTGAATACCCTAGTGTGTTTGCATTAAAAGGAAAGCATGCCCAATGCCAAGAAGCTTTTCATAAACCTGTGAATGTGGCAGTTGAGTACATCATTTTGCCCTGGCACCCACCCCCACCAGACTGTAGCCTAAATGCTAACTGACTGTAGCCTAAATGCTAACAGACTGTAGCCTAAATGCTAACAGACTGTAGCCTAAATGCTAACAGACTGTAGCCTAAATGCTAACAGACTGTAGCCTAAATGCTAACAGACTGTAGCCTAAATGCTAACAGACTGTAGCCTCTGTGAGTGGTTGGTAATAATGTCCAATATGTTTCTCGCTCTCTACAGGTATGGAGACCAATCACCTCCACCCTCTACTTCCCTGTGGGCCCTGGAACAGGCTTCCTCTACCTAGTCAATCTGTATTTCCTCTACCAGTACTCTACCAGGCTGGAGACAGGTGGGTTCACACAGTCCTCTAGCAGGGTTCTGTTCAGGAGCATGTAACGTTACAGAACGTTAAAATAGAAGCGCCCATGTAGAATATGGAATTGTCATAGAAATAGAATGAATAGATTTTATAATCTGCAACAACATTCAGAATGTTTCACATCACTGAATAGTCCTACACCCCAGCGGAGACAGGTGGGTTCACGCCAGGTCACAGAGGCTGGAGACAGGTGGGTTCACGCCAGGTCACAGAGGCTGGAGACAGGTGGGTTCACGCCAGGTCACAGAGGCTAGCTAGGCTGACAGTCTGCCAGCTCTCATTTACAGTTGTTGTAAATAATACATGTTGAGCCTGTCATCTGGAAGAGGCCCTGCCATCATGCACCAAACTATGAGCAGCCCAATAGAGATCACTTGTTGTTTTATACACTACCGGTCAAAAGTTTTACAACACCTACTCATTCAAAGGTTTTCTTTATTTGTACTATTTTCTACATTGTAGAATAATAGTGAAGACATCAAAACTATGAAATAACACATGAATCATGTAGGAACCATAAAAGTGTTAAACAAATCAAAATATATTTTATATTTGAGATTCTTCAAATAGCCACCCTTTGCCTTGATGACAGCTTTGCACACTCTTGGCATTCTCTCAACCAGCTTCACCTGGAATGCTTTTCCAACAGTCTTGAAGGAGTTCCCACATATGCTGAGCACTTGTTGGCTGCTTTTCCTTCACTCTGCGGTACGACCATCGCAATTTGGTTGAGGTTGGGGGATTGTGGAGGCCAGGTCATCTGATGCAGCACTCCATCACGTTGGGTCATTGTCCTGTTGAAAAACTAAAGATAGTCCCACTAAGCCCAAACCAGATGGGATGGCGTATTGCTGCAGAATGCTGTGGTAGCCATGCTGGTTAAGTGTGAATTGAATTCTAAATAAATCACAGACGGTGTCACCAGCAAAGCACCCCCACACCATAACACCACCTCCTCCATGCTTTACGGTGGGAAATACACATGCAGAGATTATCCGTTCACCCACACCGCGTCTCACAAAGACACGGCGGTTGGAACCAAAAATCTCCAATTTGGACTCCAAACCAAAGGACACATTTCCACCTGTCTATTGTCCATTGCTCGTGTTTCTTGGCCCAAGCAATTCTCTTCTTATTATTGGTGACCTTTAGTAATGGTTTCTTTGCAGCAATTCGACCATGAAGGCCTGAGTCACACAGTCACCTCTAAACAGTTGATGTTGAGATGTGTCTGTTACTTGAACTCTGTGAAGCATTTATTTGGGCTGCAATTTCTGAGGCTGGTAACTCTAATGAACTTATCCTCTGCAGCAGAGGTAACTCTGGGTCTTCCATTTCTGTGGCGGTCCTCATGAGAGCCAGTTTCATCATAGCGCTTAATGGTTTTTGCGAGTGTTCTTGAAGGAACTTTCAAAGTTCTTGACATTTTCCGTATTGACTGACTTTCTTGTCTTAAAGTAATGATGGACTGTCGTTTCTCTTTGCTTATTTGAGCTGTTGCCATAATATGGACTTGGTCTTTTACCAAATAGGGCTGTCTTCTGTATACCCCCCTACCTTGTCACAACACAAATGATTGGCTCAAACGCATTAAGAAATAAATCAATTCCACAAATTAACTTTTTTAAGAAGGCACAGCTGTTAATTGAAATGCATTCCAGGTGACTACCTCATGAAGCTGGTTGAGAGAATGCCAAGAGTGTACAAAGCTGTCATCAAGGCAAAGGGTGGCTATTTGAAGAATCTCAAATATAAAATATATTTTGATTTGTTTAACACTTTTCTGTTTACATGATTCCATATGTGTTATTTCATAGTTTTGATGTCTTCACTATTATTCTACAATGTAGAAAAACCCTTGAATGAGTAAAACTTTTGACCGGTAGTGTATATAAATGTATTTTGGCTAGAAAGAGGTGAACGGTAGAGGTGAACGGTAGGAGAGAGAATGCTTAAAGAGCAGTGGGCTGGATTGGAACCTGACAGCGGAACATAGTACATGTGGTCCAGAGGCAGAGGCTTAGAACGATAGACCACCACATTCACTTATTATCCTTAGTCAGACGCCATTATAGATCTTATTTATTACACAACATTAGGACTGTTGGAGTTAGGAGGAAGCAGACAATGTCATTCAGTACACATTGAGCTTTTTAAAATCTTGTGATCATGGTGTTAGAATATGATTAAATAAAGAATTGCTACGGTTAAATAAATAATTGCGGTGTTAGGTCTGTATGTACAGTCTCAATTTCAATTCAAAGGGGCTTTATTGGCATGGGAAACATGTTTACATTGCCAAAGCAAGTGAAATAAACAAACAAAAGTGCTTATCTCTCTCTCTCTCTCTCTCTCTGTCTCGCTCTCTCCTCTCTCGCTCTCTCTCGCTCTCCTCTCTCGCTCTCCTCTCTCGCTCTCCTCTCTCGCTCTCCTCTCTCTCTCTCTCGCTCTCCCCTCTCTCCTCTCTCTCGCTCTCTCGCTCTCCTCTCTCTCTCGCTCTCCTCTCTCGCTCTCCTCTCGCTCTCCTCTCTCGCTCTCCTCCTCTCTCTCTCCTCTCGCTCTCCTCTCTCTCTCCTCTCCTCTCTCTCTCCTCTCTCGCTCTCTCTCTCGCTCTCCTCTCGCTCTCTCTCTCTCTCTCTCGCTCTCGCCTCTCCTCTCTCGCTCTCCTCTCTCTCTCGCTCTCTCTCCTCTCTCTCGCTCTCTCCTCTCTCTCGCTCTCCTCTCTCTCTCTCGCTCTCTCCTCTCTCGCTCTCCTCTCTCGCTCTCTCGCTCTCTCCTCTCTCGCTCTCTCTCTCTCTCCTCTCTCGCTCTCCTCTCTCCTCTCTCCTCTCTCTCTCATATATCTCATCTCTTCCAGGGGCGTTTGATGGGCGGCCGGCTGACTTTGTGTTCATGCTGCTATTCAACTGGATCTGCATCGTTGTATCCTTTATCTGCTTATCAATATGAGGCCTTCATCTTTTATGCAGCTGACAAGTTTATCAGTCATAGGAAATGAATGATGTCAATTAGCCATACATTTAACTTATCATCACTGTCTGGTGAAAACCTCTTATCTTCCAAACAGAAACTTTTCAGGAATTGGAAATAATTACCATATTTTCCCATTAAGGAACATACCATTATGAACATTTAGAAGATATTTTGAAAACATTTTTTGTGTCCTTGAGTCATGAAATGTACAGAGAACATTGAGGGAAGTTACTGCTTTAAACTAATGTAAAAAATATATATATATTTGCAAAATTGGAGTTAGAAGGTTTTCGTCAGACAGCGACGTTATGCTGTTTTGTCAACTGTTAGAGGTAATAGTGTTTCATGTTTTTTCCTCCTGAGTCTAGGCCTTATTATAGGGTGTGTTATTAGAGCTGCCCCCTGCCTGTTAAGCTGCCTAGCAACAGTTCAGCCCCTTTCCAGTGGTCTAGCTACAATCTCTTTCTCTGTACAGCCATGTGGTACAGCCAAACCAGTCTCTGTTTCCCTGTACAGCCAAACCAGTCTCTGTTTCCCTGTACAGCCAAACCAGTCTCTGTTTCCCTGTACAGCCAAACCAGTCTCTGTTTCCCTGTACAGCCAAACCAGTCTCTGTTTCTCTGTACAGCCAAACCAGTCTCTGTTTCCCTGTACAGCCAAACCAGTGTCTGTTTCCCTGTACAGCCAAACCAGTCTCTGTTTCCCTGTACAGCCAAACCAGTCTCTGTTTCCCTGTACAGCCAAACCAGTCTCTGTTTCCCTGTACAGCCAAACCAGTCTCTGTTTCCCTGTACAGCCAAACCAGTCTCTGTTTCCCTGTACAGCCAAACCAGTCTCTGTTTCCCTGTACAGCCAAACCAGTCTCTGTTTCCCTGTACAGCCAAACCAGTCTCTGTTTCCCTGTACAGCCAAACCAGTCTCTGTTTCCCTGTACAGCCAAACCAGTCTCTGTTTCCCTGTACAGCCAAACCAGTCTCTGTTTCCCTGTACAGCCAAACCAGTCTCTGTTTCCCTGTACAGCCAAACCAGTCTCTGTTTCCCTGTACAGCCAAACCAGTCTCTGTTTCCCTGTACAGCCAAACCAGTCTCTGTTTCCCTGTACAGCCAAACCAGTCTCTGTTTCCCTGTACAGCCAAACCAGTCTCTGTTTCCCTGTACAGCCAAACCAGTCTCTGTTTCCCTGTACAGCCAAACCAGTCTCTGTTTCCCTGTACAGCCAAACCAGTCTCTGTTTCCCTGTACAGCCAAACCAGTCTCTGTTTCCCTGTACAGCCAAACCAGTCTCTGTTTCCCTGTACAGCCAAACCAGTCTCTGTTTCCCTGTACAGCCAAACCAGTCTCTGTTTCCCTGTACAGCCAAACCAGTCTCTGTTTCCCTGTACAGCCAAACCAGTCTCTGTTTCCCTGTACAGCCAAACCAGTCTCTGTTTCCCTGTACAGCCAAACCAGTCTCTGTTTCCCTGTACAGCCAAACCAGTCTCTGTTTCCCTGTACAGCCAAACCAGTCTCTGTTTCCCTGTACAGCCAAACCAGTCTCTGTTTCCCTGTACAGCCAAACCAGTCTCTGTTTCCCTGTACAGCCAAACCAGTCTCTGTTTCCCTGTACAGCCAAACCAGTCTCTGTTTCCCTGTACAGCCAAACCAGTCTCTGTTTCCCTGTACAGCCAAACCAGTCTCTGTTTCCCTGTACAGCCAAACCAGTCTCTGTTTCCCTGTACAGCCAAAACCAGTCTCTGTTCCCTGTACAGCCAAACCAGTCTCTGTTCCAGTACAGCCAAACCAGTCTCTGTTTCCCTGTACAGCCAAACCAGTCTCTGTTTCCCTGTACAGCCAAACCAGTCTCTGTTTCCCTGTACAGCCAAACCAGTCTCTGTTTCCCTGTACAGCCAAACCAGTCTCTGTTTCCCTGTACAGCCAAACCAGTCTCTGTTTCCCTGTACAGCCAAACCCCCTGTCTGCTGGTAGCCTAGCTACGGTCTCTGTACAGCCATGTGGTTAATCCAGGTCACATGGAGGGACAACACTGCTCACATGAAAGATCTGGTTCAAATACAGATGCTGCCTCAGTGACTGTGTTGTGGTTAAAGAACCTCAGTACAGCTGGAATGGATCATTAGGCTCCTCTATGCTCCGTGACAGAACATCCACAATAGTTCTGTTGTCAAGTCATCTGTTCCACTGCTTCTCCTTTTGGGCAACTAAACGGGAAATGAAGGTCAGGGTATGTGGCCTGTTTTATATATAACTAGATGAAACAGTTAATTCAACATCTGTAAAATAATTGATCCTGACAGGAGGGATACAGGTTTCCTTAACTGCTTGTGTAGATAACTGGGTTAATGATGGATATGCAGGTAAGTGTCTTCCTCCTGTTTTCTCTCTGTCCCTAGATTAGAAGAAATAAGACCTGTTGCCTTTTTCGTTTACCACAACGTTCCAAGACAAATAGTCAAAATCATGCTTTAAAGGCTAAGTCAGCCAAACCCTACTGTACCTATCAATGATAGGCAAGGTCTTATTAGCTTGATATATAGGGACATGGAAAATCCACTCTAACTCTTTTTTTGTCTTTAATCTTTAGAACATAATGTAAACTAGGTTCATTAAGAAGGTCAGATGATCAGACTGGTCTAGTTTATGATGATGGGGAGTTACTCTCAGATGATCAGACTGGTCTAGTTTATCATGATGGGGAGTTGCTGTCAGATGATCAGACTGGTCTAGTTTATCATGATGGGGAGTTACTCTCAGATGATCAGACTGGTCTAGTTTATCATGATGGGGAGTTGCTGTCAGATGATCAGACTGGTCTAGTTTATCATGATGGGGAGTTACTCTCAGATGATCAGACTGGTCTAGTTTATCATGATGGGGAGTTGCTGTCAGATGATCAGACTGGTCTAGTTTATCATGATGGGGAGTTGCTGTCAGATGATCAGACTGGTCTAGTTTATCATGATGGGGAGTTGCTGTCAGATGATCAGACTGGTCTAGTTTATCATGATGGGGAGTTACTCTCAGATGATCAGACTGGTCTAGTTTATCATGATGGGGAGTTGCTGTCAGATGATCAGACTGGTCTAGTTTATCATGATGGGGAGTTACTCTCAGATGATCAGACTGGTCTAGTTTATCATGATGGGGAGTTGCTGTCAGGTGATCAGACTGGTCTAGTTTATCATGATGGGGAGTTGCTGTCAGATGATCAGACTGGTCTAGTCTATCATGATGGGGAGTTGCTGTCAGATGATCAGACTGGTCTAGTTTATCATGATGGGGAGTTGCTGTCAGATGATCAGACTGGTCTAGTTTATCATGATGGGGAGTTGCTGTCAGATGATCAGACTGGTCTAGTTTATCATGATGGGGAGTTGCTGTCAGATGATCAGACTGGTCTAGTTTATCATGATGGGGAGTTGCTGTCAGGTGATCAGACTGGTCTAGTTTATCATGATGGGGAGTTGCTGTCAGATGATCAGACTGGTCTAGTTTATCATGATGGGGAGTTGCTGTCAGATGATCAGACTGGTCTAGTTTATCATGATGGGGAGTTGCTGTCAGATGATCAGACTGGTCTAGTTATCATGATGGGGAGTTGCTGTCAGATGATCAGACTGGTCTAGTTTATCATGATGGGGAGTTGCTGTCAGATGATCAGACTGGTCTAGTTTATCATGATGGGGAGTTGCTGTCAGATGATCAGACTGGTCTAGTTTATCATGATGGGGAGTTGCTGTCAGATGATCAGACTGGTCTAGTTTATCATGATGGGGAGTTGCTGTCAGATGATCAGACTGGTCTAGTCTGCTGTATCTTGTTTCACAGCGGGGCCGACACTCGGTGTGTGTCCCAAATGGCACCCTATTCCCTTTATAGTGCACTCTGGTCAAAAGTAGTGCACTATATAGGGAATAGGGTGCCATTTGGGACTGCCTCAGACAGCTAAGAGGCTAGTCGTCCTGCCTCGGTGCTACTGACCATACATCTACCAGAGGTCATCACAACCACTGTCATTTAGTTTAAACAAACTGGACACCTCCGTGGTCACCATGACACAATAACAATTATGCCATCTAAAGCTTCAGTGCTAAGGTATCTCTGCTGCCTGTGTCGCTGCAGCCTCTTGGTCAGTTGGTTTGTAAAAGAGGATGTATCTATAACCTACATCAGGGTTCTTCAATTCCAGTCCTGGAGGGCCGAAACACCTCTGTTTTTCATCCTCTCCTTCTAATCAGGGGCTAATTCAGACCTGGGACACCAGGTGAGTGCAATTAACTACCAGGTAGAAATAAAAAAACAGAAGTGTTTCGGCCCTCCAGGACCGGAATTGAAGAACCCTGCTCTACATGATTAGATAAAGCTAATACATTGTTTAGGGGTTTTTTGGTCCACCTCTTCTTATGAAATAACTGATTTGAGAACTACTACTAAAATATGCAAATCTTGTTGTGTTTTCCAGCTCCTGATGATCCCGTTGATAATGTCTGTCCTGTACGTGTGGGCTCAGCTGAACAGAGAAACAATAGTCTCCTTCTGGTTCGGAACACGCTTCAAAGCATGTTATCTACCCTGGGTCATCCTTGGATTCAACTACATCATTGGGGGCTCGTAAGTAGTTCCATTATTTTTGTCAACAATTCAACATGATTATAACAACAATTACATTTTCAACAGAAATGTCAAAGTCGATAGTAAAATCCTGAATGTCTTGGTTGTCTACTCTCATCTCCAGTGTTGTCAATGAACTGATTGGGAACCTGGTGGGTCACCTCTACTTCTTCCTGATGTTTAAATACCCCATGGACCTGGGAGGCAGGTCCTTCCTCTCAACACCTGACTTCCTGTGAGTTCCTCTGCTACTCTACCTGTCTGGTGTCCCAATCATGTGTTGCTTTAATCCTGAAGCAACATGACTGGTAGAAATGTCATGAATAGAGCTCAGAGATGCATAATGCATGTTTGTTCTACACAATATATTTATATGTAAACATTCCTGCTGAACACAGCCCTGTTGTCCTCTGTGATTCCTGCTGAACACAGCCCTGTTGTCCTCTGTGATTCCTGCTGAACACAGCCCTGTTATCCTCTGTGATTCCTGCTGAACACAGCCCTGTTGTCCTCTGTGATTCCTGCTGAACACAGCCCTGTTGTCCTCTGTGATTCCTGCTGAACACAGCCCTGTTGTCCTCTGTGATTCCTGCTGAACACAGCCCTGTTGTCCTCTGTGATTCCTGCTGAACACAGCCCTGTTGTCCTCTGTGATTCCTGCTGAACACAGCCCTGTTGTCCTCTGTGATTCCTGCTGAACACAGCCCTGTTGTCCTCTGTGATTCCTTACTCTACATTTCAGAGATGCATGTCTGTTTTAATACAGTATGGGGTCCTCTCTCTCGTCTACAGGTACCGCTTCCTGCCCAACAGACGAGGGGGCGTGTCTGGGTTTGGAGCTCCGCCCAGCAGGAGACCTGCAGCTCCAGAGGCCGGAGGTGGTGGTGGTGGTGGTGGTGGTGGAGGAGGTATGGGAGGACGTCATGCCTGGGGAGCTGGCTTCCGTCTAGGGGACGACTGAGGAGACTGTCCCACGTCCCACCGAGTAGTAGGACAAAGACTCTTGTCTCCTCAATACTCTCTACTCCTCAAGACTACTGTTGATGTCCAAATTATGCAGAAGAAAGCAGATTTATTTTGGTATCTTAACTCCCCTTCCTTTGGACTGTTCAGAAAAGAGAGGTCGCAGCTGTGGATATGATCAGCATGTTGTTCTTTCATTCTGTGCTCTCTCTCACACAAGATGCCATATCCGATTACACTGTAATTACAGGGTTCCTCCTAACCAGTGTGTTGCCTCAGCCAGCCTTTTCAGAGCGTGGGGTTTGGCTATTTAGAAAAGCATTGTTCTGAAGAGAGAACAGCCGAGCACTAAGGACTGAATTCTCTTTGCCTGCCCCGTCTCTCTCTAGATAGAACACGAGGCAACAGCAACTGTCACACTGGCTGTGTAGCTAGAGGCACATGTGTAATAACACAAAACGATATCTCTTGTTCATTCTCCCCCCCGGTCTGCGCTGTTGTATGATTGCACCGCAACACTGAATGTTTGTCTGTTTGAATGGGGCAGTAGGGTCGAAGTTGTAAAATAAAAATAAAAAAATCTTCAACGTAGTATAAAAATTCAATAATGATGCAACAATGTGGTTTGAGATAGATAGATAGAATGAAGCAAAAGCTTTTATTTGAGAGAAATGTCTACAGTGTGTGCTCACCCTGTCCCAGTAGATCGCTTTGGTAAAGCTGGTTTGGATCCATATAAAACTGCAGTGTCATGGTTCTGTTTCCCCTTGATTTAGCTCCGCAACATGGCAATTAAATGAAACTGCAAGATTTCATGAATACCCCCAGTTGTATGTAATTATAACTTACACTCAACTGTGAAATGGCATCAATTGTTTTCAAGATGAGTGATTTGCTTGTTGCCAATTTTGATTTCCATTCAGAAGATGAAATAATCCAATCTAAAAAGCAAAACAGTTGTAATAATCACACTTATCTTGAGGATGTATATAGTTAGTTATTCACCAGGGTTGGGGTCAATTCCATTTAAATTCAAGAAGTTAACTGAAATTACAATTATTTTTTTCCCTTCAGAGAAGCGTTGAGGAAATGTAAGTTTACTTCCTGAATTTGCAATGGAATTGACCCCGACACACATCTACAGTGACCCTTGACCTTATACCAGAGGATGTCTTTCAGTCGAGTATCTTATGATTGTGTTTATTTGACTGGGTCTGTCTGTTTCTCTAACTTGTTTTGTACAATGGCATTTTGTACTTGAGTAAACAGAACGGAAACAAAACTTTCCAGTTTTTGTTGCGTTAAAATTATTTGATTTAACGTTGTACTGAAGTAATCAAATCCAGTGCATTTCTCCATCTCAATTGCATGTCTCTTGACCAAAATATTCTTAAAGGACACAGGAAGGGGGAAAATGCAGAATAAGGCAACCTACACTGAGTATAGAAAACATTAAGAACACTATTTCCGAGACCGACTGACCAGGTGAATCCAAGTGAAAGCTATGAGCCCTTAATGATTCACATGTTAAATCCACTTCAATCAGTGTAGATGATGGGGAGGAGACAGGTTGAAGAATGATTTTGAACCCTTGAGACTGAAACATGGATTGTGTGTGTGCCATTGAGGGTGAATGGGCAAGACACAAAATGTAAGTACCTTTGAACGGGGTATGCGCCGGTTTGCGACAATTGCAACGCTGCTGGGTTTTCATGCTCAACAGTTTCCCGTGTGTATCAAGAATGGTCCTCCACCCAAAGGACGTCCAGCCAACTTGACACGACTGGGGGAAGCATTGGAGTGCTTTCAACACCTTGCCCCGAAGAATTGAGGCTGTTCTGAGGGCGAAAGGGGGTGCAACTCAATGTTTGGTATACTCAATGTGTGCGTTTCCCCTAGAGTTGATTGACGCGCCTGCTCAATCTAATCAGCATAATACCAAAAGTCTGTTTAAGCTAGATGTTTTTTTTTGCATGGGCCAGTTCTCAATCCAGCGCATCTGCTGTGGAAGGTGGCAGAGCTACAGTGCTGTTTGTCAGACCAGGAGACATACCGAAAATTGGTATTCTCACAAATGTCTAGTGTCCGAACGGTTTGGCCTACAAGATAATATGACCAGCCTATGGAAAGATGACTCACGAACACAACGGTGTTCTCCATTTTGCTCTACGACCTCCACAAGTGTCACGGTACTCGTCTGAAGGTAACCAGGTACCAGGCCGAAAAATGAATGGAAGTGAATAGGGTATTTCCAAGTCAAAGGTATACGGGTCGTTCCACGGTAAAATGACTTTTTTCCCCCCTGAACTACTTATGTCTCTCAGATATAGGGCAGACACTTTAAAACATACCTCCTTTTGATTCGTTTTTTTCTTTTTATACATACAAGTGTCCTAAAATTCCAAATCAAATAGCTAAATGATCCATGGCATTACCATCTAAAAACAATTCTGTATGTTAGCTTAGTAGAAACTCCACCCTGGGCCCTTAGGGTTAAGTATCTCTGAGTAGTGACCAGTGCACAAGGGACCAAGAGACAGCTTTCAGTTGGTTTTAGTTTTATTGAGTTACAGCAGACTGATAAAAAAAAAAAAAAGAGCAAGCAAAGAGACTCTTGGTAGAAGCACAGTATTCCAGATACATGTATGAACATGACTCACTAATAGCAGAAGCATGAAAAACTCAAATGAGCGAGCAGTCGCAAATCTGCCATTGAAATGGAGCCTAACACCTAGGATATCTAGAAAGCCAACACGAGAAAATACCAGTTACTGATGCAACGGATGCTGCAATTCAAAAATGAGACTGAACTACAAAAACATGTACAGTGCATTTTCTTTGTTTTTATTCATGTCCATTCCGTGGCTGACTGTATTCTCAGGCAACGGTAGTGTTCAGCATGAGAGAGGGAACTTATTGTAATGTAGTAGGTGATTCTTAGCCTGGGTAGCAGACCTGTTTGTGCTATCAATCCACTCTTTGTCATATGCCAAACATTTGGTACCCAGGCTAGGTGATTCTAGTCCAATGGATGAACTCACTGGTTATCAGATCAGAAGTGTTCCTCGTCTGTCCACGTGAAATAAGTGCCATCTATGACCAGCTGCTAGTCACTTTAAAATGTTTTATTGTTGTTTTAAAAATAAAAATTACCAACTGATGAATTGGTTTACAATGACCATCATAGTCATAAAAATGAAAACATTGTTCTAATAGGGGTTATTGGGGGACTCCTGTTATAAATGTAAAAACCATCAACCCCCGAAAATGTTTACAAAGCTTTTGCAATACAGAAAAATGGCTGTGTAGCTGGCTGTGTAGCTAGAGGCACATGTGTAATAACACAAAACGATATCTCTTGTTCATTCTCCCCCCCGGTCTGCGCTGTTGTATGATTGCACCGCAACACTGAATGTTTGTCTGTTTGAATGGGGCAGTAGGGTCGAAGTTGTAAAATAAAAATAAAAAAATCTTCAACGTAGTATAAAAATTCAATAATGATGCAACAATGTGGTTTGAGATAGATAGATAGAATGAAGCAAAAGCTTTTATTTGAGAGAAATGTCTACAGTGTGTGCTCACCCTGTCCCAGTAGATCGCTTTGGTAAAGCTGGTTTGGATCCATATAAAACTGCAGTGTCATGGTTCTGTTTCCCCTTGATTTAGCTCCGCAACATGGCAATTAAATGAAACTAAGATTTCATGAATACCCCCCAGTTGTATGTAATTATAACTTACACTCAACTGTGAAATGGCATCAATTGTTTTCAAGATGAGTGATTTGCTTGTTGCCAATTTTGATTTCCATTCAGAAGATGAAATAATCCAATCTAAAAAGCAAAACAGTTGTAATAATCACACTTATCTTGAGGATGTATATAGTTAGTTATTCACCAGGGTTGGGGTCAATTCCATTTAAATTCAAGAAGTTAACTGAAATTACAATTATTTTTTTCCCTTCAGAGAAGCGTTGAGGAAATGTAAGTTTACTTCCTGAATTTGCAATGGAATTGACCCCGACACACATCTACAGTGACCCTTGACCTTATACCAGAGGATGTCTTTCAGTCGAGTATCTTATGATTGTGTTTATTTGACTGGGTCTGTCTGTTTCTCTAACTTGTTTTGTACAATGGCATTTTGTACTTGAGTAAACAGAACGGAAACAAAACTTTCCAGTTTTTGTTGCGTTAAAATTATTTGATTTAACGTTGTACTGAAGTAATCAAATCCAGTGCATTTCTCCATCTCAATTGCATGTCTCTTGACCAAAATATTCTTAAAGGACACAGGAAGGGGGAAAATGCAGAATAAGGCAACCTACACTGAGTATAGAAAACATTAAGAACACTATTTCCGAGACCGACTGACCAGGTGAATCCAAGTGAAAGCTATGAGCCCTTAATGATTCACATGTTAAATCCACTTCAATCAGTGTAGATGATGGGGAGGAGACAGGTTGAAGAATGATTTTGAACCCTTGAGACTGAAACATGGATTGTGTGTGTGCCATTGAGGGTGAATGGGCAAGACACAAAATGTAAGTACCTTTGAACGGGGTATGCGCCGGTTTGCGACAATTGCAACGCTGCTGGGTTTTCATGCTCAACAGTTTCCCGTGTGTATCAAGAATGGTCCTCCACCCAAAGGACGTCCAGCCAACTTGACACGACTGGGGGAAGCATTGGAGTGCTTTCAACACCTTGCCCCGAAGAATTGAGGCTGTTCTGAGGGCGAAAGGGGGTGCAACTCAATGTTTGGTATACTCAATGTGTGCGTTTCCCCTAGAGTTGATTGACGCGCCTGCTCAATCTAATCAGCATAATACCAAAAGTCTGTTTAAGCTAAGATGTTTTTTTTTGCATGGGCCAGTTCTCAATCCAGCGCATCTGCTGTGGAAGGTGGCAGAGCTACAGTGCTGTTTGTCAGACCAGGAGACATACCGAAAATTGGTATTCTCACAAATGTCTAGTGTCCGAACGGTTTGGCCTACAAGATATGACCAGCCTATGGAAAGATGACTCACGAACACAACGGTGTTCTCCATTTTGCTCTACGACCTCCACAAGTGTCACGGTACTCGTTTGAAGGTAACCCGGTACCAGGCCGAAAAATGAATGGAAGTGAATAGGGTATTTCCAAGTCAAAGGTATACGGGTCGTTCCACGGTAAAATGAGATTTTTCCCCCCTGAACTACTTATGTCTCAGATATAGGGCAGACACTTTAAAACATACCTCCTTTTGATTAGTTTTTTTTTTTTTTATACATACAGGTGTCCTAAAATTCCAAATCAAATAGCTAAATGATCCTTGGCATGACCATCTAAAAACAATTCTGTATGTTAGCTTAGTAGAAACTCCACCCTGGGCCCTTAGGGTTAAGTATCTCTGAGTAGTGACCAGTGCACAAGGGACCAAGAGACAGCTTTCACTTGGTTGTGTTTTATTGAGTTACAGCAGACTGATTTTAAAAAAGAGCAAGCAAAGAGACTCTTGGTAGAAGCACAGTATTCCAGATACATGTATGAACATGACTCACTAATAGCAGAAGCATGAAAAACTCAATGAGCGAGCAGTCGCAAATCTGCCATTGAAATGGAGCCTAACACCTAGGATATCTAGAAAGCCAACACGAGAAAATACCAGTTACTGATGCAACAATTCAAAAATGAGACTGAACTACAAAAACATGTACAGTGCATTTTCTTTGTTTTTATTCATGTCCATTCCGTGGCTGACTGTATTCTCAGGCAACGGTAGTGTTCAGCATGAGAGAGGGAACTTATTGTAATGTAGTAGGTGATTCTTAGCCTGGGTAGCAGACCTGTTTGTGCTATCAATCCACTCTTTGTCATATGCCAAACATTTGGTACCCAGGCTAGGTGATTCTAGTCCAATGGATGAACTCACTGGTTATCAGATCAGAAGTGTTCCTCGTCTGTCCACGTGAAATAAGTGCCATCTATGACCAGCTGCTAGTCACTTTAAAATGTTTTATTGTTGTTTTAAAAATAAAAATTACCAACTGATGAATTGGTTTACAATGACCATCATAGTCATAAAAATGAAAACATTGTTCTAATAGGGGTTATTGGGGGACTCCTGTTATAAATGTAAAAACCATCAACCCCCGAAAATGTTTACAAAGCTTTTGCAATACAGAAAAATATTTACAAGGGCCCTTTTTTAATAAGTGTAATACTAAATGTATCAAGTCCAGCTTTGGTACTCAGTGGTCTTCCCAGTCAGTGTTCTGAGTGGACTCTACCATCCTCCGTGCCCCTGATGTCATAGGCCAGGTAGGAAATCATTGGTTCCAGATTCAACAATCTTGAGAATCTTCTGTCTGAGAAACTCAGCATCCTCTGTTGTTGTCCTCTGAAACAAAGTAAATGTCAAGACACAGACTTGTTATACAAATGGCTGACAAAACACATTTGTCGTCAACGTCACATATATTAACCTGTCATTCTGCAGCTTTTAATTAGCAATTAACAGACCAATACAGCAGGTTATCAGAGGTAGTTTTCTGTTCACCAGGGAAAACAGCCCCAGTGATAACTACATGTGTAATCCCAGTAGCCTCTTCCTGCCAAGATGTTTTTCCTGAAGGCTAAATTACAGGCATCCCGGGTGGTTATTAGTCACAGCTGCTAGATGGTTGCCGTCGCTCTGTTAAAGGGAAAACCATCACACTACTACATAACCAATTTCCGTATTTTTTGACTGAGTTACTTACAGGCATCAAGACGAAAATCATTAACACTGAAATACGTCATTCTGAAAGGAATTATAAACCTGCAGTACAGTAGCTTATCATAGGCTACTCTCAAAGGAATTATAAACCTGCAGTACAGTAGCTTATCATAGGCTACTCACCATGCTCTTTTCATCCAGTCACCCGACCAGGTTGGTCTCCCATCAGCACCTCTGTCTCTGATCCCATCTTCTGGTTCTCCAAAGCACCTTTAGTCTCGTCCCCTACAGCCATGGTCACCTTCACCCATCTGCTTCTGTCCACGCTGGCCTGTCCATGTTGGTCCCTGCCCCTGCTGATGTCCGTCATACTCTGGCCCAGCTTGCTGGTAAACCACTGGACTATGTCCTGGTTGATGAGTTTCGACTGCAATGGAAGCTTCTCTGCGTCTTCTTCTGAAAGCAGTGTCGTCTTGGCTTCTGTGAAGTGCTGCTGGAGAACGCTGCTTGGAGGTCGTTCTGTGATCGCTGACGTCGACGAGCTCTGACCATTCTGTCCTGCTTTGCCGTTGACTTTCTGAAACGGTTCCATCCAGTCCAATGTTCCACTCGCCAGGGCGGATCGGTTTTCCTTGAACCAGCGGACGATCTCTGTGCGAGACAAACCCGTCAGGTCCTCCAGCTGGCTGTACTCTTCTGGTGACGGCCACTGGGTCTGGGTGAACACCTCTTTGAGAAGCCCCAGGGATTTGCTGTCGATGGGCTCAGGACTGGTGGAAGTGGTGACAATGGGAAGAGGTGAGCGCCGGACTTTGCTGTCCTGCTCGTAAACACTGTTCAGTATCCCTCGTTGCTCCTCAAGGCTCTTAGGACCCAGGGAGTTTGCCAGGGCTTGCTCCAAGTTGTCCCGCAGCGCTCTGCGCTCTGAGAACCAGCAGTCGATCTCAGTCTTGGAGAGCCTTGTGTCCACAACAAGGTTGTCGACGTCAATTTCAGTGGGGGAGCTGGTCCTCTGAAAACTCTCCTCTAGCATCTCGAGCTGCTCAGAGGATTTGCCTTTGAGCCTCTCCAGGAGAGGAAACTGGGTGGGGACAGCCTTTTTGGGCTGACTGTCATTCAATGCCTGGGGCTCAATCTTGATCACCTGTGGCGCCACCTTGTAATTGAGGAGTCGTTGTTCGCTGAACCACTTCTTGATCTCTCCTCTAGAGAGGCCGGTGGACTCAATGAGACGGTACACTTCCTCCTCTTCAGGGAACTGGCACTGGGTGTAACTAGCTTTCAGCACCACAATCTGGTCCGGGGTTTTATTAGAGTCTGACGTGAAGCTGGGTTTAGGCGAAGCCACCAGTCTAAGTGTAGGTGCCTGAATCGTCTGGATTATGGAGGGACGTTTGATCTCTGAAGCGGCCACTACTGGAGCTGCCAAGGGTCGCTTGACAGACTGCACCACCTGGTTTGCCATGGTTAGCGTGATGGGAGAACAACTGACAGCTGAGCCGTTTGCAACCGGCGTCAACACATAACTGGTCTGTCCCAGGAGGTTGAAGGGGACGGATTGAACTAGGGACTGTTGTCCTTTGGTGGACTGGGCCAGCTGGGCACCGCTCAGCACAGTGAAAGTAGTCTGTGGGACTGACTGGATGGTACCGTTGAACATCTTCTTCCGAGCTTCTTCCACCTCTTCAGGGGACCAGCTGATGCCTTGTTTCAGTCTCTGGAGGGTGAACCACACCTTGATCTGTTCCTCGGGGTGCTTCGAGGCAGCGGTAAGCCAGGAGAGTTCCGCTTGGGTCGGGTACGGGAACTTGGTGAAGGATGTGATGAGTGTCATGTTATTGTCCAGTGAAGGGTTGTACTTGGAGGTGTTCAAAGGGACAGCGATTTTTGGTACTAAATTGTAGTTAGGCGGGCGCTGAAGAGAAGGCATGATATGTGAGACGCCATCTTTTAGGGTCGCTTCTGGGATGATCATGGTACCGTTCATATTCACAGCGGCGATCTGCTTTTTGTGGAGCTCGGGGTTGAGTCTGTCCGATTTACATTCTGTCAATAACCGTTTGTTGTCTATTTTTGGCTTACTAATCTTCACCGTTGTAGATTTGCACAGGGGGAAAGTGGCGAAGTCTTCTCCAGTAAGAATGCCGTTGGTTGAATCACAGACGACGGCGTTGCTTGCTCCTTCTATCGACTGCTCTAGGATGGTCTGATTGTTCAGTTTGATTCTCTTGAACTTAAAGTTGCTCTCCCCTGGATGACACCGCTCGTTGTGCTCTGTCAAGGTGTCAAACTTCTTTGTGTTGAAGTTGCACACAGCACACAGGTAGAGCGGGTTGAGAATGACATTGGGGTGACTGGAATCCACGTGCTCTTTGAATTCATTCAGGTTCTGCGTAGAGAACGGACAGTACTTGCATTCGTAGCCTCCCTGCTGCTTCCTCTGTGGCTTTGAATCCACCGCATTAGGTTTCTCAGGGGCCGGCGACTCCTGGCGCGAACCACTAGGCTCTGTCCCAGAGCTCCAGTCCTCTCCAGGAAGCATCTCTGTGGATCCATTCGCCACTGTGCTTTTGTCGTTCGCCGATACCTCCATCTCACCTGGATCCTCCTGCCCCATCATGTAATCAGCTCTAACAGAAGCATCAGCTCTACAAGGGGTTGTGTTCTTCCTTCGGCTGGCCATTGCATGCGTAGGTCACCTTGGACTGTTAGACGGACGTTGTAGGGGAAATGACAGCGGGGGGGGGAGGAGGGGATGTTTCTGTCTTGTGAAGAATATGCACTTGTTGTTCCTGCTGACTGTTAATGTCAGCTCCAATGAGGGAATTCATGAGACTTCATCCCAGATCACCCAATCTGGGGGAAAGAGAGAGAGAGGAGAAATTAGAGAAACACAAGGTAATTCCTGCAATAACCTGAAACAGACAATATAAAAATCCTATACCGCCGGTTCAATAGTCAGCATAATTTTCTTACTCTTTTTCTACTTAACATAAATGGCCATGGTAATAGGTCTAACTCGGCAATGAAAATATGTCCCTAAACCATTGTCCATATTCAGAGTAATTGTTCTCCATCCCTCTGTCACAGGGCCTAGCTTGTCCCTTCTGTGACAAAACAATCATTTCTTCCAATCCTGTCTCCCTAGTAGCAGATTACATATGCCAATCTCTCTCTTAAAGCTGCAATATTTCACTCATTTGGGTGACCCAACCAAATTCACAGAATTTGTGTTATAGATCTGTCACTCATTGAAAGCAAGTAGACCTTTTCTGTGTGCGCTGTCTATGTTTCCCGTTCTTAGGTTTCGTTTTTGAGTCTTTTACGTTCGGATTTGTACACCTAGGAATCGAACAGCTGAAAATACAATATTTCTGGTTATGGAAAATATATTTCACAGCAGTTTACATGGTACAATGATTCTCTACACTATACTTGCTTGTTTTGTCACATAAACTGAAATTAAGCGAACTATTAGAATTTTAGCATCCAGGAAATAGCAGAGCGATTTTCACACAGTGCATCTTTAAAGGCCAAAAGCCAGTGGTACATACACCCAAAGCCAAGACCTTTATTTTGGTGCAACATATACCGTAGCTAAATCTGACAACCCCCCCAAAACATACATCGGCTCCAAGGTAACGGATGGTAAAAAAACTAAAAGAGAAGCCTTAAGGATGCAATATAATACAGTACATGTATTTAATTTCCCTGAGCGGTTTTATTTTTAATGAAGCGGTAGAGGAGCTAATCCAAGAGAGAGTGAAAGAAGTAATTGATATTCTAGTTGCATCATGCATTACTAGATCACATTTCCATGCAACAAAACTGAAAGAGAGAATGTTTATTTTTATTTTATGACAAACATCATATAAAAGTGTTCTATTGCAGAACCAAAGTCTATGGGCTGATGTCTTCCGACTTCCAGCAGTGACTGAACTGATAGAATCTTCTGGAAAGGACAGCAGGTAAGTGATGTTAAGAGGCCTTTAATAGAAGAGTAGGCTTTGTGTGATGAATGGTGAACAATGTAGCTTTTGGCTCCAAAATGAAGATACAAATCTGTTTTCACAGTAGACTGCCTGACCTCTGATCATTTATCAGTTCACTAAAAATCAGGAGAAAGCTATCAAATATCACCTTTCATGAACTGCCTCTCTTCAAAGATTGCTTTGCTGTGGTAAACCCATTTTCTTCATGACGGTGACTAAGACCCAGTTGTGCTTGGGATGAGAACCAACATGTTTTATTTCAGGAACAACTGTTACAGCCTACTGTTTAAAAACAGAGAAAATCCATGTTTCGTGCTGTTCGTCTGGTGGTCAGTGCTCTGGTAAGAGATGTTCAAAGTAGAACATTGATGACTAGCTACATCAGCACTGTGAAATGTCAAATACAAATCCCAATGACTGCCGTCATCAACTCAGTCACTCATTGGATTGTCACTTGGGGTATTTCCATAACAAGCATTAGAGGTTGCATCTGCATTATTAAAATTCAGAAGAGCCTAATTTCCATGAGGTAGTTATGACAACCACGGTCCGGACATTGACTTTCCCTCGTTGCATTGCTGCTGATGCTACTGCTACAGTGTATTAAACCCACCTCGCAGATATTAATTACTCTGGAGGAGACATGGAGCCAGAACGGCTGCAGTGTGGAGTCAGGCGGACTGAGGGGCCATTGCTAAGAGCCTGTCTGTCTGCCAGACCTGGGTCGTGTTCAGAAAATGGACTGAAACAGAGAGAGGGACTACCTCGACTTGTCCATTGAGAAACACTAATGGTCTGTTTCAAAATGTTTTCTGTTGCGTGCCTAATGAGTCCTGCTAGCAGACCGACGCTCTCCTCTCCTCTCCGTTCAGGACTGTACTGCTGTGGTGTGTCAGGCTGGGTGTCATGTCCCTGTACTGCTGTGGCGTGTCAGGCTGGGTGTCATGTCCCTGTACTGCTGTGGCGTGTCAGGCTGGGCGTCTTGTCCCTGTACTGCTGTGGTATGTCAGTCTGGGTGGAGTGGAGCGGAGCATGCCGCTATACTGGAGCCAAATTAAACTTGCATGAGGTCCCGGCCGACGCTTTGTGTCTCATATCATGTCCTCAGCTCACTGTCTCTGACTGGCTGGCTGACTGACTCACTAACCCCCGGGCCAGCACATACCAAAGTAACTCCCCCAATGGACACTGCTGTGGTGACTCACTGCTGGACAACAGTGCCCTACCCTACTGTATTCACTGCCTTTCATTATTTGCTTTCAACAGAAGAACATAACATACATTAACAACAGGCTCATTCACGTCATTAATCATTCTTGACGATTAGGCTACCACAGATGTCAACATCAGTTACAGAACATGAAACATCTGTAGGATGGATGACTCCCTCTCGTCAGATCCCTAACGTCATTCCATCTGACACAATAACAACAAAGCTCAGAACTGATGACCGCAGTCTGCAATGTATCAACCTGCTGTGTGTCCAGGAATAGCAGTAGCAGGCCAATGAATCCCTAGAAGAGTGGAGCTGCCGAGGCTGAGACAGAGTGTGTGTTTGTGTCACAGGAACTTTCTATCTGTCCAATCAGAGCCCATCGCTATAGCACTACAGCCCTGCCGTATCTGCCATGACAACAAGACTACGGTTTCTAAACTGAGAGTTGGTAAATAATGACATACTGTAGAGTAGAATGGATCCACCTGCTGAGTGCCAAGACGCTTTCAGAGCAGCCTTCATCATCTAACGTGACAGAAACACATGTCATGTTGGATGTGGGGAGGGGACAAGGCACAGACTGCTGTTGCTAGGATAACAGAGTGGACAGGAAGAGGTAGGTATTCCACTCAGACTGGCTCACTGTTCCATGTTCCACAGATCAGAGGTCTACTGTATTCAGTGAGGTGAAGCGTTCAGAACGTTGCAACCAACAGAAACGCAACAAGTAGAAGTGACTTGATTCTCTGTTCTACCAGACAGAGAATTATGTCTGTTCTACACAATGCATTTCTATCTGAACGTTGTGTAATGTTGTGAAACATTGCGGCGTTCTGAACAGACCCACAGCTGCAGTGTTCTAGAGGAGGGTGATGTGATGATAGTGAAGAGTGAGAGAGTGAGTGAGTGAGTGAGTGAGAGAGAGTGAGAGAGAGATGCTGTGTGGGAGGAGACAGTGCTCTACTAATACTGCATCCCTCAGCAGGGGGCTGAAATTGGGAACGTCGCAGAATTAATTTAAATATCATCAAATGGGCCCTGAAAAAAAACACTGTAGCTCTGCATGGAATCAGGCAATCACTTTACATTGCTTTACTTAACATTCTATTTAGGTTATTTTCGCAAAGCTGCAAAATAATAACTGAATTGGTACAACAAGGAATTTTGAGTTGTGCACTGCAAGCCTGGAGCAGATAAATAAACCCTTCTCTGTATTAGAATTGTAAAAATAACAGTGTTAAAACCACAATGTTTAAGCCTTACTAGGCTACTACTGGACTGGAGCAACTCTTCATCATATCTGGGGTGAGTCCAGCAACTCTTCATCATATCTGGGGTGAGTCCAGTAAGTCCACCATCACATCGATTCTGATTCGGACAATGAAATAGTCCAAGTTACTGGTTAGGTCCCACCATGTCTTTAAATATAGCAGTCAAACTCTGTATGGAGTCTGGACTGGACTAGCGGCCAGGTTACCATGGAAACAGGCTAACAGCAGGTGGAGGGATTTACTCTCTCCACTCCACCAGAGAGAGAACGTTCTGCATGACTACTTTTGGCCCAACCAACTTTGATGAAACATCAACCCTTTCAATTATACTGTATAAACATCAAGTTGGAGGGGGTCCACAAGACAGTCTTGTATTCAACTGGTGGAATCCAGGTAGGGGTCAATTGAATCTATACTTTGCCCAAGTGGAACATAGCATAGACATTGCATAGCATAGACATTGCATAGTACTTTCCACTTGTACTGTAAAGACCTAGGCTACTACAAAACTGAGCCAGGTATTCACTGTGAATATAGACAGCATGAGGAGATATGGGTTAAGTATTTAGTTTAGAAAAGGAAGCCTAATATCTTACCAGCTGTTAGCAGCTGTTCTGCTGACAAGCTGAGGGAAGCATGAACTCTTCCAGTCAAGAAATACTTTGACAGTTATCAAACCATGTCCATTCCAGTCTAACCCCAAGAATGACCATGCTTTCTTGAACACTGTCCTCTTGTGCGCAACATATTTATACACTGAACATAAATATTTAAAAAAAAACATACAACAAGACTAACTTGTTCATATGAGGAAATAGGTAAATTGAAATAAATTCATTAGACCCTAATCTATGGATTTCACATGACTGGGAATACAGATATGCATCTGTTGGTTACAGATGCCTTTTTTTTTTTTAAGGTAGGGGCGTGGATCAGAAAACCAGTCAGTATCTGGTGTGACCACCATTTGACTCATGCGGCGCGACATCTCCTTCGCATAGAGTTGATCAGGCTGTTGATTGTGGCCTGTGGAATGTTGTCCCACTCCTCTTCAATGGCTGTGCGAAGGTGCTGGATATTGGCGGGAACTGGAACACGCTGTTGTACACGTCGATTCTGAGCATCCCAAACATGCTCAATGGGTGACATGTCTGGTGAGTATGCAGGCCATGGAATTTTCAGCTTCCAGGAATTGTGTACAGAT